AGGAATTGGAGATGGCGGTGAGTATGACAACGGTGTTTTGGCAGCCTTCGTCACGGGGGTGCAGAAAGAATGATTGGAGAATCCTGCTCTTAATCGAAGGGTGGGTTCAAGGGAGCACGTTGTCGCAGAGGATTATTAGCCCACACGACCGACTCAGGGATCGGTGTAAGTGACCTGGCTCGTGCAGCGGCGCGCTGTCCAGCGTCGGAGGCAGACGTCTCCGCCGGCTGCTTCCCTCTGAGTCGGATCATAAGGACAGTGGCATTCAGCAAGCAGTAGAAACATTCTGAGGACGGGGAACGGGAGAAACCCTGGATGGTAAGCGCTTAATATTGACTCTGAAAGATCATTCGACCATTCTCCGAGACCAATGGCCTTCGAAGGAGACTAGCGGTGGTCTCAAAGATTCGCTTGTCCTTCTGACTACGTCAAGGATCAGCACAGGAGAACTGTAGGCGATTGGGACAGGTGGAAATTATTGTGTCAGTCGATTCGCAAAAAGTTGCAGTCGGCAATATCAAGGAGCGCTTCGTGGTGGCGGTCAAATCGAGAGCTGCTTATTCAAGAAAGAATCAAACTTCGCGCGTCGATTGCGCCTTCCGAAGAAATGGGGTCAAAAACGAAGCGAAAGAAATGGTTTCCTTGAGTCATATATGGTAAGCGCGCAGAGTGAGGAGTGGAGACTGCCCTGCAGCTTGGGAGAAATTGACTCTTCCATTCAAGGAGCGAGGCTCGAGAGTGACCTCAAAATGTGACGTATGAGCCGGAAGTTCATCGGCTTTCTAGAAGTCCACAGGTTAGGAGGACTTCGGCGTGTCGCCAAGTCTATTGGTTGATTCTTCTTCGATTGATATCGTTCCCGGGAACGTCTCCATAAGCATAAGTTCATGGAGATTGGTGCGCCCCCAGTTATGACTTGAGAGCTGTTAGATGGAGTTCCATTTTGCAAATCCGCTGGCTTGTCTGAGGTCGATGGCTAATGGAGTTTGACATACAACACTCCCTCCTTAGCTCGCCCCTGCTTGCAGTGCGATCAAAGACGGAAGCAGGCGTGCTGCGAAATCCATGGGAGAGGCGATATTCACAAATTTGAGATTGGTCACTTTGTTTTTTGATCAAGAAACGCGCTCCACGGTTCCTCCGAGGATCGTTGCACGATCTATAGCATAGCGTGTCAATGAATCGGGGCCAGTGCGGCTTTTCCTGATTTTCTTGTTCGTGATCACATGGATCTCGGGAGTATGTATCTCCTCTTATGACAGAATTGAGTCGTATTTGAACGACTTTGTTGGAATGGTGGCGGCTGTAGTCCTTTCTGTAGTTTGCTTCAGTGGTCAGCATTGGTGTGACACCCTGCGCGAGTCCAAAATCCAGCTTCTAATAATTCTCAACCCTGAATTTCCTCGGGCTCTGTCGAAGCCGAGCACGGTCCGTCGTCTGATTCGTCCTCGAGTTTTACCGAGGAATTTGCCTCGCTATCCGATCCCATGTATACTTTCCGCAGAAGGGAATTTTAGCTATCGAGAGAGCTTTTCGTGAGGCACATGAGCCAGAGATCAGGTGATCCCTTCAGCGACCACGCCGCGCCTATTGAGAGGCGCAGTCATCGGGGAAGAACACCTGTCTGGACAATCTTTGCTCCTCATACGAAATTCATCGGGAATAATTATCGCAACATCGGATAATCGTCGAACGGACAGTCAGACGGGCAGGCGAGTTTAGGTTCGCATGGGTCCCTTCTGAAGTAAGGAGACGTGTGGATTCGCCGACACAAGCTGCTGTTCGGGGCTTGTTGATGTTCTCGCAACGAGGTGGTTGACTGCTGCGGACGTCACCGGTAAGATGGCGTATCCGTAGGTTAGATGTATTTGATCGGGTGTGTTGATCATTCTTTCACAAATTGTTGGACTCTTGGCTCTTGGACGGGTGTGGAGTCATAAGCTGTGGCGAATTAGCGAGAAAATGTACTCCTGCCGATATCCTCGCTCGATGGCTGTGTAACAGATTGATCGTCCGTGGATGGAAAAGGCGATTTCGTTCGCTGTTCTTGCATTCGCCTTGTGAAAGAGATGAAGCGTAGAGACGGCTTGATTGACGTGATGGTGTTCTGGAAATTCGTGCGCCAAGCTATCCTTTTCCGGATGGTATGCCATTCGCGTGCGGTGGCAGCCTGTGCTGCATGGTTTTCCTATGTTTCATGGCGTTGTTGTGGCGGAGAAGATCTGTGTCGCTGAGATCGACTTTCTGAAAGCATTCCTGCCCTGAGGAGCTCTTCTTTGCTGACTCGGAGCGTGTGTGTTATGTATTGTATCAGTTTTGGATCGGTCGCATATCTTTGTTGTGATTGGAGCATAGCATGCTTTTGAGGGAGATGTTCTGAGGTCGTGTCTGGTCAAGGAGATAGATTGGTGAATGAAGTTCGACGTCGGTGTTCACTCGAAACTTCTGTTTGTTTGATGTTCCGTGATTTGAACAGCTGGACTAGTGTAACATTAAAGCCGTTCGGAGTCGCGCCGTGACCGAAAAGGGGCATTCGGGGATCGACATTATCAGGAATGAAACGAATACTGTGGACATATTTTTCACTGAGTCACCCTCAAGCGATGGAGGGATCCCGTGGGCTCCGTAGCCTACGAGAATCCGCAATAAACGCTCGGAGTTGACAGAGAGCAAAACTCGATCGGTCGGGATGGGAGGAGACGCCCAGCTCACAATGAATCACAGACGTGACTCGCATTCGACGTCTCTCTGCGAGATGAATCGACCGACTTTGAATGTCGAGATTGGTCTCGTGTCGAGGAGACGCTTGATCTTGACAGCGAATTGGTTCATTTTAGCGTGTAGTCAGCGAAACGCGCATTTGATATCCAGCAGTTTGTCATTAACGCTTGTAGTTCAATTTTAATATTGCTCTAATCCCCGTCAATATTCCAAATATGATGCCGCTGATTGTGTTATTGTCGATGTTTTTGCCCGAATTCAGAATTTGGATCCTACAGATCAGTGAGAGTGACGTTTGCTCGCAGCAAGCAGTGATTGATGTGGGCTCGCTCGCGCATGTAGTTGGAACGTTTTCAACACGCACTCTTCTATTTATCGTTCGTTATGTCGGTGTTGTTTTCCGAGCAATGATGGCGATGCTCGCTCGATTTCATCGTTCGAATGCGACCCGATCGCGGGCATGGTATGGTTCGGGCATAAATGCGCGATCGGATGATGAACAGTTACTGCAGCGTTGCAGTTTTCCTCACAGGTCATTGACGACTGATTTTTCGAGATGGCTTGACGAAACAGTCTCCGAAACCGTTTGTCGGTTTGTTGGGAATATTTTCCGTCAGCACAGTTTAGGTATGGGAAGTCAGTAGCTTAGAAAACTTCAGGGGAACTCGGATGAAGGGATCGATACGGTGGCTAAGATGACTTGACTGATTGAAAAGAAGGCTGAACAATTTCTAAGAGGGCATGCTCGTAGAGCAGGGTGATTGAACCAGCTAATGATGATGTAATCGCATTCGAAATCATGAGCTTTTCCGACGGGGGTGTGTGTCTACAGGATTGAATATGATCGACGCGCAGGGTGCGCATCTACTCCGTTGCATAAGTTCTTCCAGGGTCAACGAATGAACTCAGAAAACTCCGGGAATCTGAGGAGAAACAGCAACCCGAGTTTCTCAGATACAGGAGACACGATTTAATCTCCTGAGAACACGATTCGCAACGTTGCCGTGGGCCGTAGAGTTCCATGTCAGTTCATGTGTCGATATTGTTCGCGTCTCCACTTCTTACATGTAAGGAGCGGAATTCTACGAATATTCCATGTGAGAAATTTCCCCGCCCTGATGTGATGCCCTCGATCGCGCATTTAGGCAGAGAGGAGAAAATTCCTGATGAGCTCCCTCCACCAAATGAAATCATCTACTAGTCGCTCAGAGCCGAAAGAAATCATGAATTCCGTGATAACGTACAGCTGTGCGCGAATGTAATCGTCGCGCTGGCGGCTCAGAGAGCTGTGATGATCGAGTTCATATCTGTTTCTCTGCAGTCGAGGTATCTGAGTCGACAGTCTTTATCCAGAGGTGGTCCCCCCACAAACAAGTGTCTTTGGAGCAGTCAACCGTTCGTAATCAAAGCATATAAGAAAGCATTATTCAAATGTCTGTGTGATTGTTGTCTGTTTCACGTGTTCTGCATTGTTTGAATTGAGTTCGTCCGTCCACAGTCGCATTCCGCTGTGTGACCCATATGTATATCCGATAGACAGCGTCGACATTATTTTCGACAGGATTAATTTCGTCAGCTGATCTGATGATTTTTCAAATCTCTTTGAGGTTTCCGTAATTTTCGAATCGTCTGTGTCGTGTCACGGCTTCCTTTCTTTCCTCATTCCAATTGATGTGTCCCTTCTGCATTATTGTGCGGCAGTTGGCCCTAGGCATTTGATACGCTGCGAGAAGCAGCCTACTGAGAGAGCCTTCTCCCCGATCATTCGGAGTCCCTCGCGGAATTCTCTTATCGAATTTCAATTTTGGGCTTTGTCGCATTCAAATTTAACATACGGCGACAGATCGTCGCGGAATCATCATCTGGAGTTTGTGCTCTCTACAGTAGTGGCCAGTGCGTTGCGAATTATGCTTCCCTTCTCGGAATGACGAGAAGCTAGAGTTACTTCGGATGTTTCTTTGGTCGCGGAGAAACTTAAGCGTACACCTTAGTCCCAACCTCTCGTCCGACTGAAACGCTTCATTTCCGATTCATTAGAATCGTCTCTATCGTCGCATTAGTTTCTTGCTGTGTGCGATCCGACGAATGTTATGAGCTCAATCCAGCGCAGAAAAATGTGAGCGCGCTCTCGACGAATTTCTATTCCACGTAGTGGCTTTGTTGTCTGTGTGTACTTCGTAGGCACTGGCGGTTTGGCTCGATCTAATCAACGAGAAACATCAAACACATTGTGCTTGCTCATTACATCTGAAGACGAGTATCAATCAATATCACAATGATTAGCAAAGTCCTGGTCCGAGAATATTGTTGTTCGGGGCGCTATTGACGGACGAGAGAATGTTGGGAACCAGAGGGTTATCTAAGATATCAATGCCACCTGCGTTGTTGACGTTGACCGATTGAATAGTTGAATTCGCGGGGCCCCGGTTAGGCTTGTACTCTAGGCCAGGGTCGAACTGCAGGAGAACGAACACCATGTCTGTGGGTAGTAGGAGAAACTCCGCCGGCGGGTTCGTGATCACATATCTGTGAATAAAGAACGAGACCGTAAATCTTTGACGGAGCCCGATTTCGCGATCGAGGGACATCGGTCAGATGCAGCTTCATCTGGGCCGGCGATGCAAGCTATGGGGATTTTACCTTTTGGTTGACCCTTCCCCGGAGTTACTCGTATCGCGGAATCGATACAATCCAATACACAGCATTCCGTAGCTGCGTAATGAGGCGACGAATAATTCGCCGTACTTTCCTCCTTCCCCAAACTGTGCCAGCGGTCCATCATACAAAGATATTTGGCCAACGCGACATCTGTCTCTATTCGACAGAGAATCAGGTGTTGAGTATCCGCCTCTTAGACCTGCACCCTCAGCAAGTATCAACTCCAGTTCTAGACGAGAGAGAGAAAGGGAGAAATTGATCCGCTTAGTGATCATTTGTGTCCATCACATGATGCGACAGACTCATGTGATTCGTACTCGCTTGCTCATCCTTGATATATATGAAAGGGGAGATATAATCCTCCCCTGCAGCAGACCCCGAACAGGAGACGAGCACGTGATGGGAAGAGAAGAGCGTAGCTGTCTTACCTGGAGTGGCTCCGCCTGTTATGAGGGAGCGAATGAGAGTGAGGGCGTTTGCATTGAAGTATGTCGTACTCATGAGTGAGTCGAGCACTGAGACGGCAAACGCCGTTCCGCACGCGAACGGTTGTGTAAGATAGAGCTCTGTATCCGGATCGTCGTCATCGTCTTGATCCAGGAATTGAACGTTGGTATCGTTGACGAGTTCGGTTATGAGAGGCACGTTTGCCCCATAAACGGAGCCTCTACGCTGCATGATGATCGGACTACCTGTAAAGCGGAAGGGTGCATTCAGAATGGATGCTTTTGCTTCAGGTCTTGTGCGGCGTCGTGCCGCTGAGTGAGTACATCGATACTCAATCGCAACTAACCCAGTGGGGAGCTGCTGTGTCCCGGCGCCATCGTCGTCGAGTTGAGGCTGAGGACTCCTATTGTGTCGTCGAAGGTCATGGCTTTGATATTTAGCGAGGCGAGGATGGCTTCCTGTAATTTTCAATCGGACGATCCATTGAAGGCGAATATCCAGGAGATCGTAGCGCCTCGATATCGCCTCGGATGGTTGAAAAAAATGATGGACCGAACATCATTGAATATTTTTTCATACCTTGTCGGCAAGCGTGGGGTCGTCACTACTGGGAATCTTGGCGGATAAGATCACGCACATGTCGCAGAGGTTGATGTTGACGGCCCTGAGGTCGGCCCGCGAGAGGGGTGACCCGTTTAGCACTGAAATCTTAGGCAGATTCTGCAACATTTTCCACTCCCTGTGAAAAGAAGCTTGCTTTCAGTCGCCGTCGGAGAGCTCGGCCAGACCTCATTGTACGGGAAATCGCACGGCGCGATCGAAAATTCCGGAAAATAACCTTCTTAGGTAGTCCACGTTCCCTACGATGACCACATGCTTCAGTTCATGGTAATGAAAATTGGACGCGCGCAGCGGCATCACGAGATTCCTTAGTCCTGCGGGAGAATATACATCAAGCGAGCTATGATTGTGACACCAAACTCCAAGAGATCGATGGGGATTTTCTTTGAAATCGATCGCGACCCATCCTTACCTATAAGAGGTGAATCGGCGTCGGCGAAGAGACAAACCACGACATGCCCGTTGAGCACCGTCATCGCCGCCTGGAATCGATGAACCAGGATGAGATGGTGCCCCGAGCGAAACAAAGTAGGTATAGCTCAAGGGTACCCATCAGCTTGTCGTATGAAAAACCACGATTCTCACCTGGTTTCTGTCGAGTATGCAGTCTTCGATCGGTCGCGCAGAGCACCAATGGAACATGCCTGAGAGAGGAAGACGACGAGATTTGAGGTCGAGCTCGCAGAAAAGCTTCGTATTTCGAAAAAAATATGTTCTCAAATAATCAATCGACAAATCTGGAAAGACGATCACCTGTGCTGTCGTATTTCATTTCGGTTTTCTCAAAATCCTTTGCCTGGTCGTCAGATAAACCGACCGGGAAGGGTTTTTCGTTTCCACTCGATGGAGCTCCGCTCGGTGGGCGGTTAGTTGGCCTATGAAAGTCGGAATATTAAATGAGGTTCCATCGATGAGGTTTCCCTCAGAATTCGCGGAACTCGGAGGTTTGGAGGAAGGAACTACGAAAGAAGAACCAGCTCTCGGATCTCTTTTCCTGCATCTGCGAGACCAAGATTGAAGGTTCCATGGAGAAAAGAATAGTGTGCCGTTCCCGAAAGATGGAAAGGCTCAGATGTGAGCAGCTCGGAAAGGGGTGCTACGAAAGCGTGAATAGGCTCATCGGGAGAAGGTTTGATTCGAAGCAAGATTGCATACATGAGCTTCTTGACTTCGTAAGCCAAGTGCAGACCGGCGAACATGTCGTTAGAGTTATTCCTCCCACCGTCAGAACTGGAAAGACACACAAAGATATAGGACAGGGTGGTTAGCGAATGGAGGCTGCCGATGCCGTCAGGAAACTGTAAGTGAGGGTCGTTCGTGCACGAAAGGTGATTGGGTCGTTCGTAGAAGAGGGACAAGAGAGACTTTCGAACATACCCGTAATTTGGCGGAGATAGCAAAGCTTGATTATTTGCTTGTTGTTCCTTGATGCTCGCGGCGGCCGAGACTAATTTGTTTGATGACTTTGGCGGCTTTGACTGAGGTGGTGTTGGCAGTCTCCCTGACTCATTATTATTGAGCAGCTGAGGTTGGGAAGCTGTGGGCATCGTATCCAAAATTCATTAGAGAACCTATCGACATTGTTCCCGCACAAAGCAAAATCCACACAACGACTGCTACACCATTTTCTACGCCCCTCGATCTGCGAGGATCCCTTCCGGTTTCGTTCGTTCCGCATCCAGAAAAAATCGATTCCATATCGACTCCATGACGGTGATTAGGGAAATATTGCGCGTAACGCTGAGGCGATCCGATTGAACTGATTCAGACGGAAAGGATCCCTGCGACCGAGTGGGCGGGCGATATCGTGAGAGGAAGCAACGCCTCGACATTGGGGATGGGATTTCAACTTCACAGCTCCCTTACCCACGATTCATCCAGCTACTGTTTCCTTCAGATTTTAACTACGCGAGAGAAGATATATGAATTGGCAACAAACAACGCGTCGCGGTAGCAATCTCAATACCGATTCACTCGCAATCTGAGGTTGCGACCGCTTCAGGCGACTGCGGCCAATTATATATCTTGGACTCGTGTTCATTACCTACGTCCAGACAATGGTCACATTCTCAGGCAGTTGCAACGACAACGAACCAAATCAAAAATGTAGACACACAGAGTTATGGATGGTAAACTATCATCCAACACTTCCGGCTTAGCATCCATAAATTTGCACATGTGACGGACATCAGCAAAGTACGGACACCGAGAACAGGAATTCCATGGGGGACCAGATGAGGGACGAGGTTTCCTAATTCTCAGAGTCCATTCTCCTGATACATTCAGACCGTGGGGCACCGTGTAGATTCGTAGATCGAGACTCCTCACAGGCGCTGACTTTCATTCCATCAACAGCCTCGGGAAGCACCCTTTCGATCCTCCACTTCTGTCCCGTCGTTTCTCGGGTCTGTTTGATCAACGATTGTGGATTCCGACACCGATTGTTCTCGAATATTCTCAGGAATGGTGTCACGCTCGTAGTTAAGGCATCAAGTTTTCTCTTGCTGGCGACACCTTGAGGGCTTAGTCGGGATTGAATGTTTTTGATCTCTATGTAAACGAGTTCTTGCGAATAGGCAAGCTCTTGAAGCATACATAGCCTGGCGCTGCTGAGTGCAGCCCAAGATTTGGTTCTCGACAACCGACTGGGCCCAGTGTCCGCGGACGGAGGAGGCGAGGTCATAGGTAGATCGCTCGCCGACCGGAAGTTTTCGTGATATGGCTTTCGGCAAAAATACTCTCTGGGAGATGAGCGGTTCCCGCGCCCGTTAGTGGAGGATGGAACTTTCGCGTATCATGCATATTCTTTTTACTCCTCCAGGGGGATGGAATGCGACAGATGTGGGTGAGGCATCGATACAAATCGGGTAGCGAAAATTGTGTAGAGAAAGTCAATGTGTCCAATTCGAGCCGGAAAACTGACTACCTCTGAGCTTGACCCGTTTGGGAACGTCTGGTGGCGTGAATGTAGGGGCGATCACCCCGGCGGTTTCATCTGCAACGATCATACAACAACGTCTAAAAAAGTTTCCGTACTAATCCAATTAACATGGTTCGACATGTCATATCTCACAGCAGCAGCGTTCCTGACAAGCATGCGTGAGGAAACTCGCCATGCAAGGCAGCACTTCACAACCCGTTGTTTATCGAGTCGAGAGAAGCCGGAACCGTGGACTGGATCTTTTTTTCGCCAGGTGGGAGAAGTTCTCTGGGGGGGTGTATTCCGAAGATGCAGGAATGGGGATTGTGGTCTTGGGACACAGGACCGGAACATCTTCTCAAGCAATAGAGGTGAGCAGCAGCGTCTGAGACAAAGCATCAGCAGCGGCGGCAAAAACAGCCGGCGAAGCGTTAGCGGGAAGAAGTTCACGATACCTAGTTGAGCAGCATGGCTCAAACACTCCTTCAAAGATTTGAAGTCTATGGCACGTTATTTGCCAAAGATATGTTTTTTTTTCCGCAATCTCAGAGGGAACAGGAGACGCGAGTTTCGATGAAACCGAGATGCTTTCCTCGCAGAAGATTGCGCATCGATTGGGAGGTTCAAGAGCATCGATCTGGGACGCAAGTAGAGGAGGCAAGGCGGGGCAATCAGTTGTTCTCACACGCTTTCACTCTCGCTTCCCGAAACATACGGAAAACAACGCACTGTGAGCCGCGTCAGACCGGTCGGGATCACGGCTCCGCGAGCTATGCGTAGATATTTACACTCTTTTTGTCTAGGGAATACGAACAGGCTCAGTCGATCTGTCATTTCATGGAATACCAAATCTCTCTCAGGATGTGACTCTGTTCCTGGAAGATCGATGTCGCTATCCGCCTCAAATCTACATACAAAATTTGGAACCTCTCTAAAAATGTTCCGAAACTCCCGAAATTAAACATCGAGGTGTTGACCGATATTTATGAGTTTTCGGAGGAATGGTTGACATTCCTCCGACAACCATAAAGGGAATGATACCCAGAGATGCAATCGACCTAACTAAAACAGTGAACCCGAGTCGAATCGAGGATAAACAAGACAGACGACGTTCATTATCCAGTTCAACCGTTCAAGCAGTCAAACCCCATAGCCGGTGATGAAAAGAGTAATGAATGATGGATGATCGCCGCTTCTGCGCTCATCTAGGAGTAAATGGCATTCGATCATATGGCAACACCATTCGGGATCCATTCAAGAGCAGCGGGTATACATGAGTTCAAGACTATGATCATTTTTCCACGAGGAAAAAAGTCTCATAAATATGATCAACAACATACGACCGGAAATAATCACAGTATCGATCGATCAATGTACAATCACATACAGTCGACATGGGTCGACCTGGAGGCATCCATTCAATCTCATTCAAACAACATTCTTTTATTTCAAATAAAAGCTGAGTAAACACGAGATAGCTTGAATGGTGGGAGGACAGCTTTGAATCGGTGACTTCAGAGAGTTGTAGCGGTAGTAGCAATCATGGTGGTAGATACGGAATGACTTTTTTCAATATTCAATCAGGTTGGAACGATTCGAATCAAATCAAAAATTTCGGAATCGTAAAAGCATAATGGTAGAGGTTCTCTCTGGTAGAAACCTACTTGCTCGGCTCACGGCTTGGACCGCTCGAACGCCTTTCTTAAAGAGACCGACTCCGACGGCCGCGGCTGTGAAATGGGAGGAATGGAAGCAACGTAGAGTCTTCAATTTTTCTCGCTGTTCATGGTTACGATATTATCCCTCCGCGTGAATCCAATATTCTTTCCACCTAGTCTAGCTGTCCTGTACGAGTAGAAGCTTCGAAAAGAGGGAATGAACGACATCGGCTCTGTGCATAGATTGCGCTTGCCCAGCATCGAAGCGCTGTATGACCAGGCTCAGAAACCGGTAATTACTCTTCCGCTCGCGCATTATGCGTGAGTTCGTCTCTGAGAAATCAATTTTCATCGAATAACATTGAATTATTCCTCAATGCTTACGCCGCCTCGCTCCAGAATACGAAGTACTGCTGGAACTGCGGCGGATGGATTGAATGCAGAATCGCCAATACAGTAAAAGCTCGTTATAAGGACCCCCATTACAACGAATTTCTCGGTATAACGAACAAGAAATTCCTCCTGCTTTGGCCAGCTCGCCGTGGGGATAGTGTTGAGCGGCATTCGTTACAGCGAAAACTCGTTACAACGAACCAGTTTCGTCGGTCCCTCCGTGTTCGTAGCAACGAGCTTTTACTGTAGTCATCCTTCTTCAAGGGCCGGGAATTTCGCAGATGGATCGGACGGTCATATTCTAATCGGACAAATAGCAACCGCAGAGGGATCCGCCGAATCCTGCGGCATCAGGCGACGCTCCTCACACAGTCCAGGGGAGCCGGGGGAGTCTTCGAAATTCCAGCGCGAATCCCGCGGCGGGAGCCGATCTGTAGTTATGCCTCAAGGTTTGGATCGAGAGGTTCACAGTCTCCAGACGAGGCTCGTTTTCTCGAAGAATGGCACGAATTCATGCCGTAAGCGCTTTCCATATCATATCGTATGTGTGTTTCATCGTGCGTCGATTCGAGACCGGTCCGGAATTTTCCTCGTATACGTGGAGCGGAGTCCGCAGCCTGCGGGGCCTTCGGCATCGATGTCTATGAGGTACACTAATAACTAATATCTTATAGCATACCATATACGGGTCAGATGATAGTCGCGGCAATTCTCTCCTGCGCCAGAATTCAAGGATTTCGACTACAGTCAGTGCCGCGACTCTCCCTCGTCTGATCAGAAACGAAGTCACGGCGGCACCACGCCACTTTATGGTGATAAATATTCGCGCTGAATAGCCGGAAAGCTCAATAATATTCTGAATTTGAATTTCATTATTCTTCATAAGCACACATATAGAGTAGGCTGTTAGAAATGCCGATCGTGACACCACGCAGTATCTGAGAAAAAAGAAATCTCTGCGGGACGTGAATTCCTGGTCAGAAGTCGCAAATTTTCTACGGTTGTGGATACCGCGGGGGGGTACTCGGTTTGTCTGATAGCCTGCCGGCCCCACGTGATGATATACACCACCACACACACGGGACCAAAACCCATAGGACGAGAGGGAATTCTCCAGATTGAGGCGAGAATGAAGAAGATTCGAGAGATGACTTCGACCTATACCACATATACGTACCTACATATTTATATATTTAAGGGTTTATTCCGCGTAGGCGCTCTCTCAGACTCACGCACTCGTCTACGGGCAAATTTAGAATGCTTCCTTTCACAGTCAGCCAATCTTCCATTCCATAAGGATAGTACGAAGCCAAACAAGAAGCGTGTTATTCGGCTTTGCGTGAGTGTTTGCTTTAAGATGCTGCGAAGATTGCTGTCGCCGCGAACGGTCCCCACGGGGAGGAACGCGAGAGGAGCTACCTCGAACGGAGGTCTCAAAGCATGAGAGAATACTTTTAGCCGACACGGAATGGAATTCACTTCTCGCGACGTCGATGTCTTCCGCAGCGGACGATCTGACAATTTCGTCGGGGATCCCGAGGACCCTCTGAATTGTATGTAACCATAGATTGGATAATAAATTAAACTAATTGCAAGAGGGGATAGGGAGGAGAGGAAATGAGTCATGGAGCAATATGAAAAATAGAAGCCCAGGGCGGCAGATAGAAGCTTGTCTAAGGCTTAGGCAGTGAGAATCTAGACTATTATTTTGCGGATGACTGACACCATCTCGTCGAAGCTTAAAAATTGTGGTGAATGCGCTCGAAGGGACTATATCGGTGTTAAGCTATCCTGTCGACCGTTTCGTGGATATACTGTTCACTGCCATCAGAGCCCCGATCTCCGTTTGCGAATAGTATTGACGCTGCTCAAAAACTCTGGCTCCCAACCGGGCCTCGGGACCGAGTTCGCAGCGGATGCGTCATCAGGTTGATGAACTCGGGTAGATCAGTCCCGAGAGGATAGTTAAGAATACGCTGGCTTCGATCAGGGATTCCGAGCATTACCACCACATGAATTGATCTAATATATTGTCTCGAGTGAAGTGCAACGCCGCTCCATCGGTGAGTTGAGCGTTCGGCTGTGCATTTAGTAATCGCTAGGAGTTTTCCACACCCCTCTTTTGAAACAAGTTTGGAGAGTTTTGAGAGTCGCAATCGAGTTAGCAAGGGGTGAGAAGCAGGCACAACGATAGCTTGCACCACCACACAGACAGTCATTGTTACTTTGGCCTGTGATTGGCAGATTTAAACGATTACTGCCTAAGGGTAAGTAGGTTACTCACGATTTTTGCATTTACACTTCTTGATCAACTTTTCGTCCTTGATGTCTTCGTGACAGTGTTTACAGTAGAACCACGCCCTGAAACAGAACGAAAACAGTCGAGGAAGGGCTCCCGAGACTCTCCGATCCGGAAACACGAGCATACATCAATAACAACTCACCGCTTAACTTCATCGGCAGATTGTGCGATGAAGAAGCCCTGGGTGTTCATGGTTATCTTCACTTTCTTCTTGGGGTTTATGTTGATCTTCGACTCAGAGTCGTCTGAAGTCACCTCAATAGCCAAGAGGAGCAGTTTCAACTTGACGAAACATAATCTGCCGAAAGGAAACAAAGTCTCATGAGGTCACCATGATCCGAACTCATTCGCTATCCGAGTTGCCTATGACGTCACAATTCACTGTTCTCCTCTGATCTGGTTCTGCCTCTACATCATGTGGATTCGGAGCACTCACTCAGCGGCTTGCGGGAATGTCATTCCTGTGAAAGATGCTGCTAGGCTTTCTGTATACATCTCCATACCCGTTCCACAGAGATAGTCATTTTGCCAGGCCGGCATGTCCGGCGACGTTTTGTAAGACCTGAAAACCAATGGATGATGTCAGCCTGAGCGATTTGCATGGAAGTCCCGCGTTCCACCGCCGGCAAAGTCGATTAGCTGGTGCTCATTTTACCTCATAGCAAACAAATTTGCCATCATCGTGGAAAAACCAGGCGCAAGACACGACTGAGCAATGAAGCCCAGTTTCAATTCAGATACGCAAATCACATCATCTCCTCGTTTCCAGTTCCAACTGGGGATGTTCAGCAGGTACGCCTGGAGAAATCGGTAGGACATCGGTGAAATATTGCTTCCCTCGAACGTTCCGAGTTTGAACACCCGATATATTCTCGGCTACTCAGAGCTCGATCATGAACTCACTTTGTTGTGATATTGCATGAGTTGTATTATGACTCTAATATCATCGGAATAATTTTTGATCGAAATCACTCTCATTATATTAGCCGCATCCTCGGCGTCGGGGTCCTGGCAGTACTTGTTTGCCAGCACCAAACATGCATCTGCCTCGTGGACCTTGAGAGGAAAAAAAATAGGTTTGAATAAGAGAAAGAGTCCGACATCTATCCTCTGGAGCATGACGAGGTCCGATTCCTCAGACTGGTGCAACGCGGTACTCACGCACCTTTACCCGTTGTAGGTCGAGTGGATTCATAACGCTGCCTTGAAAAAATTCGACGGTCGTAAAGTGCCTTTTTATAAGGCCTTCGAGTTCTAGATCTGGGGGTTTTCTGAAAAATTAATGAGACATTCATGAAGCTCTCTTCACCCGAAATTCGGTCCCTCTTCGGGATGAGCTCCGGTATTCAATACTGAGGGAAGATTTGGTTCTCCAAAAGCCAAAGGTACTGCGTCCTAAAGATGGACGCTTCCAGGCAAGGAATGGCAAACTATTGCTCATGCTTATCATCGGAGTTGGAGGAATATATCGAATCAAATGAATGAGGTTGTCTTAGCCGGACTATTTACAATTCGAAGTTCTTACCGATGCAAAAAGACGACTTCAACATCGACATCTTCTCTGTCTTCGTGTAGAAAATCTTTTAGGAAATGTGATACTGACTCGTATGTTATGTGACCGCAGACAACTATGTGTCTGTCGTTGCCAGAAGTCAGTTTTCAAGAACCATTGCAGGATTTCATCCGCGTGTAGGCGTTCGTGGATTGCATGGGTCAATCGAGCGTGGAGCAGGAATACGATGTCGGAAGGGAAAGATCATGTTAGTAAGTCAGACGGAAGATTTCGTCGTTCGGATATCGGGGGTGACGTGGCGTTAACATCGACCATCGGAACATCAGCGACTACAACGACAAAGAGAATGACGGCAGCACTAACATGGAAAGAGAAACCAACCACAGCTACAACAACCACAACGACAGCAACACCATCATCAACATGGACATCATCTTGACAAATAGCAAGGACAGCATGAGCAATGACATCGAGAAAAGATGGGCTCGATGACGATTTGCGTTTTAAGTGCCGACAGTTCCTGCCGTAGACATCATTTCACTAATGGTCGGAGAGAGAAAGGTGCACTCCTTGATCCGTTTAGTTCCGCTGGCCAGCAATCTCAAGCGTTTTCAAATCAGTTTGCGACAAAGCCACCCGACAATGAAAGCATGTGCCATTCTTCTGAGGACTTCAGCGTTGAGCTTTTGCGACTGCGCACCGTAACAAATGCCGTAAACCATCCCCCACCAGTGCGGTAATCACGATACTGTTCATGAATCTTAGTTTGGATCGATCGGAGTATAGATGGACAGAGAATCGAAGAGGCGCTGCACGGAAGTTTCTGCTCAAGAAAAATGCAGCTTCTCCAGATTCGGTGATCGAATTCGAGCAGGTTCGAGTCAAATGATCCACTCGGATGTGCTCAATTAATTTGTGATCTTGACGAAAGGGAGCGAACGGCTCCAACTCTGACCCGTACCGCGATTCGAGTCTAGTTTGCGGGCTCAGCGTGATCAGATTGCGGAGTTACCCCTCGTGGCTCAAACCCTCTAGAGTTAAGGCGCGCTTCCAGAAAATCTTTCCACGGCCGTGTTCTAGCACTTTGATCGGGAGTTCAGACTCTCTTCCTCGAAACAATTTTTAGAGAAAAACAAGACTTCGTTGCTTGCCTACCTCCGTCCTCTTTCAGATTTGAATGTTCCACCGTACTTGGGACGAGATCCAATTAGATCTATGATTTCTGGGATGCAACCGGCAAACACGGCCTAGAAAAAGTAAATTGTAGAGGAGCGTAAACGTTTGCCGTTACCTTCACCCTGAAATCGTCCGTTTCGGAGACTCCAAGCTTGATAGATACAGGCTTGGACAGGGAGATTCAGATGTTCACCAGAGGTAAGAACGAAAGTTCCGAGCTCTCACAATAGCTACGCTGGTATGATATCGATACTGTATACCTAAATATTCGAAGCAGTTTTTCAATTGAGAGTTTCGTCCATTGGCGGTTGAGGAACTCTCCGATCGAACGCCACCCCATGAGATGGGTTCTCGAACTTCCCCACGAAGTGATCTTCGAGAAATCGCGATTCAAGATTCGGTGATTCAACTCGTCGATGAGTTCAGAAGTAGACCAACTAGTGTTTGAGAACAAGGGAATAGAAAAGCGCAGAGGTTCATAGAGCGATTCTCTCTTTGTACAACGTGATTGTGCGAACATCTCAAAACCACTCAGGAAATCGGCCAGTCGATGAATCCATCTCATTAGAAATTCTCTCGGGGCCATGAAGCCGATAAAATCAATCGTGTTCGGTAGGATCGTCGGGTCGGCGTCACATCGACCAGCGCCGCATCAGTAGGTTTATGACCTCTCTGCTCATCATCCCAGAAATATCTGTACCGATGGAATTAACTCAGCCGCAGTAGCAAAACTTAACCCATTCTAAAATGCCCTCTAGAGAGCTCAATCATTCTGAGCTAGAGAAACCGAGATAGCGGAGTCTATAGTAAGTTCGTGTCGTAGAGATCCTGCCTGTGTGATGATGCGGTTGATCGCGAGGCTCAGGCTTCTTTCGACAGCAGGAGCTTGACAAAGCATATCGCACTTTTGATGCATAACAATGCTAGTTGCTTTATATCTCACGGAAGACATGGAGGAGTAGGTTTATTCCGGAAGCTTGAACATTGCAAGTTGAGACAGCTACACTTCCATCACCACAACATTGGCCACGCTTGCTCGGGAAGCTCAATCAGTGATCACACAATTCCAGCCAGACAAGATCAAAAAAATGTCCACCCCGAGGCTTGAGAGCTCTGTCTGAGTTAAGCTGCTTGACTCTCGATCGATACGCCTCTTCCGATCCTGATGGAAGTGAGGTAGCAGTCAACGAAGAGAAAAGAAATCAGATGAGGATGACGATTCGGAGCATCGTCGGGCTTCCGACTCCGAAGACCTTCGATTCAGGTAAAGATAGTAGGTCCTGCCCTACTATGCTAAAGGACAGCCCCAAGCCTCGGAGTAGATGTTCGAAATGCACCGTGTGTTATCCATTCACGACCTGTCATCCGAATACCTTTTCCCCCGCTCTCGGAGAAATTCGCCGGAGTATTTGGCGCGACTACCGAGCAACTCAATGATTTCGGGGATACAGCTCGCAAAGACGGCCTAAAAGATACAGCGCCAGACAAAGTTTCCATTAATCATCCGCCACGATGGCCACCTCTCCGGTGGATGGTCCTAACTGGCTCGGTTTTCGGTGATTCAACAACACCTTTATAAATTCGCCGCGAACCACAATTCGAGGCTATAGATATTGCTAGAATTCCTCGATGACAAGTCATGCCTGGGAGCTTCGGCAAACTTCTCGTAAGAGCAATGTCAAGGAGGTTCCTCGTCATAAGAGCTTCGAGTATCTGCGTCCCTTTGACCGGTTCGCTTCCCGGAAGTACACGAATACTCGTCGTGTCACGAAGGGGGAGCTTCGAGCTCAGGAGGATTAGACTTCTTTATGATGCGTCGGAATCAAAATATTTGGATATCAGAATATATGACGATCACGGTGTAGGGAAAATAGTTTGTTTACACTAGCACTTACCAGACCAACAAGGATGAAAAGTACGATAAAGGCTCTCCCGAGGGTGGTCTGGCAGTACAGATCTCCGTAACCGACTGTCGACATGGTCACAATGAGGAAATACACGCATTCCCAATATGTAAGCTTGTTCGGGTTTTTGAAGTCGAGGGGATCGCCTGAGTTTTCAAGCTGCAAGTGAAATCCGTAACGATGAGAGGCACGGTTTGTGATCACTTTCAAGGAATAGCTCATGATTCACGACTCGCTCATTTCTGGTTGGAACTCCCACTTCGCTGATACTTACCAAATGTATTATACCTGCTGCGGTTAACCACACAGATATCACTATCGATACAAGCTGAGCGAGTCGGATCGAAGAGCTCGTTTTCAGAACATTGAGATACTGGAGAATGTCTGGTACAGACATGAGGCGCAGTGCGCGCAGGAAACGGAGCCCGATCCACGTCCTATGGTGAGAATAGTTTTTTTTTCTACAACGATCGAATCGAATTGCATATCGACTCAACAACAGGCGTGCAATCTAAGACTATCGTGGCAAAGGCTACGAACCGGTCCAAATAGATGGATACAAAAGACGGCGGGATCGTAAAGTAGTCAACAAATGAATACAGCTCCAACATGAACCACAGCTTATCACTCGCTGCGATGAACTGCAAAGATGAAATATCGTGGTGTTGAGGGTGGCTTATCATTCGGTCTCAACCGTTGGTCGTCTCGTGAATGATGATGCTAAGCTGGGCTTCCCTAAGAGATACGTCTTCGATCTGCTTACCCTTATGAAAAAATAAACCATAAAAAATATATTGAGAGCTAGATCTATTTGTTGTGTCGTGTTCTCCGCCCACGGCTGGCATTTCTCAACACCATCGCTGAAAAGAAAGGCATCACGATTATTTACATTCAAACATAAATACTCTTATAGGTGCCGATACAACGGCCTCTCGCCCTTCTCGGAGGGAGTAATCTCGATTCGCATTACTTCTCGCTCTTGAATGAGCTTTAGACTCACTCTTCGCTATTTATCGCAGAGGATTAAGGTTCAGTCGAAACAAGCGCGGACCGGGGTGGAAGAATTCATGAAAGGAAACAAATTATGTTAGAATTCCTGGGAAGACTCCTTGTAGCAACTCAATCGGTGACTGGGGGAACGCCAGGGCACCGACAGGCACAATAGCTGACCGCTATGGCGTCTCAAGGCTCGAGAGATTAGATACGACGGTGAAGTGTGTGTCGACGAGGTGGTCCATGGAGAGAATATTGAGGACTCATCACTCGACGATGTTCGTAGAACCGATGAATCTCGTAAACTCCAGAGAGAATCTGACAGCGGTCAACTTCGCGAAGAATGTATCGAAAAACAATGGAACCCCGTTTCTGCGTTTGATTATCAGTGGCGTGTCCAACGAGTTAGCGGCTTTCTCGACGTTGCAAATCTGCTCTCTGCTTGAACTCATGAAGTAGACGAATTCGTCGGGATCGTCTGTCTTCCACGCAAGCTCGGAGTAGAGTCTACTCTCGGATGATCGGTGATCATCGAGTCATTATCGAATCTGGAGGTGCGGAAACCCCGCTGAATGGATAGTTCGGTCGGAGAGCGCCATAAGTCTCCAATTCTATCATTCATCCATGCATAACGGACCTCAGAGGAGCAGCGGGACCTGGTCCTCTACATATAAGCGATGTAGGTAAGTAACGGGATTAACACTTCCCGGCGATCGATCATCTAACCAGTATTAAAGAATGCGGAACTCCAGTACGGATACGAGCCGCGAGATCGCCTCGGCGTCCACGCTCCTCGCCGTACTTTGGGTCCTTAGGATAGGACGCCGCTCAAGTAAACCACGCAGCCTCCATCCCGCGAGAGTGATCGATCAATGGACGCTCTCCTTCAGTCAAAAGTGGCACTTCGCACCGACGCTGCAGGTTTTCTGTAAAGGCTAGCTCTGAGGCGAGAGGCGCATGTTGCATTGATGAAATGCATTAACTCTTTCCCACAACAATCGCGTTGTCGTACAAGTTAATCATCACCTGGTGTTATCCTCGTTTATATTGAATAACGGGACCCATAAAACCATGGTGACCGAGAAGCTTCTGCGAACCTGCACAGCGTGTCCAAGCGTAGTCAAATTTCCGACGAAGGATCTATCTCTCGGACCGTAGTCGATATTTGACTACCCCACGAGATACCACTAGCCCGCGCTAATTCTCCGAAGCGTTTGCATCCGCCGACATAATTGCTTAGCGATTAGAGATTGAGTGATCTCGGGAGTCATGAATCGGCGGCGATCCGTGATCGCCTTCCAAGTCGAGAAAGTTCCGAGGTGTACTCGAGAAGAATGAACATTGCAAAATCGATTCGCATCGAGTCGATGGCCGAACTTGGCCACCCGACGTCGCGAGGGGACCGCCCGGACGCGCGGCTAAGGAGTCATTTGGAGCGGGTTCTCGATGGATGCAGTGTCTGGCTCATTGGATTCGTTGAAGGAATAGGTGAGACGCCTCGAGGATGAAGGAAGGGGGCGGTGGGAGGGCCGGGAACGGGGGACTTTTCACAAAAACTTACTGGCTTTTATCTTGCTCTTGGTTGCTACTCCGCGGGCGTGGTGAGAAAAATGAACTTCCGTTAGATTCTATTAGGTGGCAGGCAATCAACGGAACAGGAGTGAAGACTACGCTCCACTCAAGAACGATTGTGTTAGGTCAGAACAGAGAAAGAGACGAGTGATACGCTCAGGAATTCGGAAGGAAGAGGAAAAGGAATAGAGCGAGTCGGATTCGCCAGAATGCTTCCTCGGAGACGGAATCATTGATGTCTCTATCTCCGTTATATTCCGCCTCTTCGTAAAAGAACCGAAAAGAACTTTAATATCCTTTCGTCCGAATAGAGCCTGTGAAGAACTTACTGTATCTCTCGTTCGTATTGAGAGGGATCATGAAGGCCTCCGCTGCAGAGTTAAGAGTTCCAAGTCCGGTTATCGGTCTAGTTCTGTGGCCGCTCATTCTAGATTCGCGTCGATAGCCGCATGCAACCCTGTGCGCAATCTACAAACATGCTCATGCAACATTGTGTGGCGGTTCATCGGTACCCCTCATTCCGGGAAGCTCTCTAGCAAGTGTCGGAGTCTCATCGTCGAGAGCTTCTCCTGGACTGCGTCAGCGCATCGGTCACGGTACACACATGCCCGCGCGGAGCTCTGCGATTCTGTTTCCCGGATCCATGGTTTCGGAACATCGGGAATTTTATACATTCACGATAAGGAAACCGGCAGAGCATCCAAGCGTATCGTACGGGGTGTCACTGCGCAAATATATATTATTCACGCTCGACTCTCGAGTGCTATTCCAACCTGAAGCTATTGCTAGAATAATCAGGCAGTCAGTTCCATTGTTTTCTGAGAGTGCTCAACTGGGGATAAAATTCAGCAACAAGCTGACTCCTGTAATGCTGATAATAGGTCCGTCCATCGGTGTTGTCGCAGAGTCCAGATGCGTGTTCGTGCGAGTTCATGTGTGTCATCGATTGAACAATAGATCGATGCCACCAGCGAGGTGAAGTCACCCCAGGAACTGGTCAACGACAGAGAGTAGCTGCTCGGTCTCTGCGCCGAATTTCCCGTATCGAGTCCACGCTCTGGACTAGACCCTGGTAGATATTCCTATATTCCGGAGGGGACTTTGAGGATCCCGCTCCCATTGTTGGAATCTGGCCTTTGAATAGCTTTTTCTGCCTGAATTTGTTAAATCTTCAATTCATCCGTGGAGTTCGAGCGGGGTATACGGAGTCAATGTAGAAATGCAATCGCATAATTGACGAGCGGCTACCACATCAGGAACTATCACGGTTGTGATGAGCTATAGCATGACAGATGAAACAACATTAGCAACAGTGATCGTAGGATCAGGGCTCCGGAGAAGGAGAAGGAACCCGATAAATTAATTAAATCGTCGAGAGGGAGCAGACCTTAACGGCGAGGGAAGGGGGTGGGGCGGACGCGCAATCACAGAATTGGATATCAGCAATGGTATATGTACATATATGAAAACATGACGCAACCATATGTGATCTCAGGGAAAACATAAATATCCACAGTCTCGAGCATGAACCTGAGGAAAACTGCGAAGCGTCGACAATGGTACTGGTGAATACAGTACGAGGCGGAATGTGGTCGCTCCGAGCGTCACTACGCTACGGGGATATACGGTGAGGAGGGAAAAGTGGTGTCATGGACAACGACAGCAACAATCACGATCAGTAACATCGACAACAATAGCCACAACAACAATCATGATGATTTTCATCAACATTGTCAGCAACAAGGAGGGAGTCGGCATCGACAACGACAAGGCCATTCACCGTCAAATGGGTTGGTTGGTTCATTACTTACTGATGCACCGGGTTGCTATGTCTGTGAGGGAAAGTGAAATGTCATGAATACGACTGAGTTCGTTAAGACTTAGCAACGCCGTCGGAGCAAAATAGGTTTTATAGCGATTGATCGGTCTCGTAGGGTCGATGATAATATCATTATCATGGTCCCATGATCATAGACGTAGGGAAGCGAGATTTTTCGACTAGTCTCGATGGTTTCTATTCCTGGTCGTACCCCCCCCGGAATCATCCACACGAAATTCCCGTGTGAAAACGAGCATCATTCGGCTTAAGAGATTGCTTCGATTTCCCATTCGCAAAACGACGTCCTATTTTGTCCTCCTCCGATGTACTTCGATATCAACTTAACAGGAACATTTTCGCAATATTCTAGTTTCGATCGAAACTGCTGTAGACCTCCTTTTACCCGCGCCAACCATTCTAATCTTAGAAACCCAAGGTGAGCCCTACTCACGTTTTACTTGCTCCGGTTCTGCAGTGGGCGCACGTGGAAGGGAGAAAGAAGATTAATATCCGACTCGGCAATCCATTACTCAAGCTGACGCCTCTCAGCAGTAAAATAATGACTGTTCGCATTGTTTTTGACTCTTCGGATCGATAAAGTCGAGGAAATGACCGCTCGCTTCAGATTCGCACCCTCGTCCGGAGTCCGGAGCTCTTTGTCCCTCGACATGGTAGGGTCCAGTCGGGCATGTACGAAGTATTGCGACCAATGTACAGGAGCGGATTTCGCACCCTCTCATCTGCTACTGATTTTCCACCGGAGGCCGACATTCATGCGAAATGAGCGCGAATACTTCAAGATTGCGAAATAAATATATGGGGTCCTCAGTCTCGCTCCCGTTAAGACTTTCGAGGGCATCTATTCTGACTCACTCGAGCGTGATCGATATCGTTCAACAATTAAGTGAGCTCTGTCGAGATCGGGTCAATTCCTCCTTGAAGTACCTACGATGACTCCTCGGGAAGCATTCGCCTCAAGAGTAAGGAAGGGACATCGAGCTCATAACCCTCACATCCGTCCCTCACGTGATCTGGACTCCGAAAAATTTTCATCGCAACGGACTTCTATAAGCCTCGATCCCAAAGAGTCTCACTCGATAGCGGAAATTAGAGCGCAACATTCCATCAAGGAAAATATCGTAAATGAACATCATGAGTGAATAGGACTGACCTTGAAGCATCGATAAAGTATATGATGAGTGATGCAATGCTCAGTAAAAAGACAAGGACAACCTGCGGAAACGAATTCCGGGTAAGTTGAAATTTCTATCCAGCCGTCCAGACCGACAACCATTGATCGATCATGATGAGAATTCCTTTGAGGGTATGACTGTTTAGCGGATGGACGGAGCTGATCCCGACCGGAATTCAGCACTCACCAGTATTCGACCCGTGGTCGTTTGTCCAGAGATCAGTCCTCCGGCCCAGTCTTTAGCCTCTGTCATCAACCCGATTTCGGTCCCGCCTTCCCCAGGCGCTTTTCTCTGAGCCCCTTGGTTTTGAACTCCAGGAGCCCCATCTGCTGCAGCTTGTGCTGCAGCTGCCGCAGCTTTGGCCTGTGCGGCTTTTCCTGCGACAGCTTTCCGTTTCCGTGAGCAGCAAAGGAAGGCGAGTGCGCGCCATATCAGGATGATGAAGAGACCGGCCAGGAAGGTGAAGATGGAGGACAGTAAGAAACAATACCACTTGCGGGTTTTCAAGCACTCTTCTTGACTACTAATCGTCGTTGTCGTGTCGGTCAGATCTGTTGACAGAGCCGTTGTCAGGATTTCTTCTTCTGCCGACGACGACATTTCGTTTTGAGTCGATTCGATTAGTTCACTTGGTCGGTTGGTGGCTTGCTCGATTTGTACGCCTGAAGAATTCGAATATCCGGGATGATTACCATCCCATCCGACCGTACAATTGCGAGGCGTCGACGGCGGCGATGGCTGCTGCCTCCAAAATGGAGCCTATCTATTCAGTGCGGGACCGAGAATCGGACATTGATCGCCTCGGAGTCTACTCAAGCTGTCCGATACGATCCCGAAGCAGCGCCTAGAACCAACGCTCGTTTTGAGCCACTAGGACTCCTCAGCTAGCGTTCTAGAGGGCAAACGCTAGCTTGATTGACAACTGTCTCTCAACCGATAGCTTCTGCTTCCTCGCTCCAAGAAGGTACGTTTGTGTGCTTGTTCGTTCGCGAATCAATGCACGGGACAGCGGTTCGCTTTGCCGCCACAATTGGAGTTGTCTAGCTTGTTGAAAGTCGGTCGTCAAACACACGCGTGAAGAGCAAATAATGGAGTATGCTATCGGATATCCTCCATCGTCTTCGTCATCATCAACAAAATCGCCTCCATCGTCCGCAGCCCGCCCCCGCCGCGGTCTTCGACCCCGACCTCGGTCGAGTGGAACTGCAGTTTTTTGTTCTTCTTGGAATTTCCAGAAGCTCAGCTAATCAGCGGCGGCAACAACAACTCTGACAGCTGGACCGCTTCTCCCTCGGTGCGTGCGTCCGTTGGTTCGGGCGGATTCCTGACGGTACCGAGAGCCGTGTTCCCTTGCACTTCGCTGTTCGCGGATGAGTCGATCCTGAATCAGCACGGTCGCGGGCGGCTCATGGAGAATCGGTCGCCGATGATGAGGCTGTCGTTGTTGTTGCCGAGGTGATCGCCTATCGAAGCGGTTGTGGGTCGGAAAGTTTTTCTATCGGCGGAGTATCGAGAAGTACTTCCGGGAGTTTGGAAGAGCCTCTCCGTTAGGATCGAGTCGATTCGGAGGCTACTTGCCTCACAGAGCGGGAAACTTGTGAGACTGCGAGACGTCAAGTATTATGTCGTAGAGCAGGGAAGCAGTCGAGATTGATAATTTCTGATAAGTTTTCTCTCTGTCTGTTTCTAGTGCGTTTGTTTTTCAAGATCGACGAGGATCGAACGTGCGAGGCTGTCGGTCGTTGAGAGTTGTATCCACGCTCTGGCCGCCAAGCTTCCTCTTTTCTCTCGTCGAGTGTAGCGGGGGCAGAAACTTTGACTTGGTCAAATGCAGGACCCGTGGTTTCGACGGCAACGACGACGGCGGTTGCGGCGGAGATGGTAACAGCGCTGGATCCCGTAACGAAGAAGCGTCGTGCGATGTCTCAAGTTGGGTTGAACGTCGTCGGCGGGCTCGGAGCTTCGGGCAATACGAGCAAGACGATGCAGACGATATGAACGAGGAAGACAACGATAACGTTGATGAGACCGATGCGGACTGCAGGTAATGCTGCTGACGTGACGGTTCAACTTGTGTTAACTCTTCTTCTGTTTGCGGTGACGATGGTAGCGCACGTAATTGATGCATTGCGTCGCGCTCTCAAACGCTGCGGGTGCTGCTGCTGCTGCTGCTGATACTGCTGCGGTTGAACTCTCCCAGCCGACTGCAGTTGACTCGACCCTCCTATCTCGCCGTGAATCTTCTCGGAGAGTCCACTGCCAACTGTCTGAGTGACAGAGTAACCACCAGTGGTTGTAGCCTACTGCTATCGGTAACTCTCTCGTCCGCTCGTGGCCAGCTCTTAGTAACTGCAGTTCACTCACACTCACACTCGAAGCAGCACTGTGTGATTCCGAATAAAGCTGTTGCTGCTGCACTCACTGTGAAAGTTTTCAGCTATACGACGGATTTCGGAGACTAGCCGAGAGAGAGGAACTCGAAGCTTCTGCTGGGGCTCTTGTTGCTGCTGCTGCTGCTGCTATAGGCACTAAGAAGCTGCTCGTCGGATTTTGTGGGCTGATGTCCTTGTTTTTGATGTAATTTGAGCGAGTTGTAGCCGTAGATGTTGACGACTCCTTGATCTCACTTGAGCATGCTGACTGGCGGATCTTAGCTTGTCAATCTTTTGATGCTTTTCGCTGGCACGCTCACCAACCAGCCTCCCAGGCTCGAGGCCTGCCTCTCTGGCCCGCTCGGACTGTCGATCAAAGGGCCCGTGTGAGAGCGCTCGCCCGTAGCGCCACCTCGCCAGCGGGCCACCAGTCAGGCTTTACATCGAGGCCACGCAGGAGGCTGCCTGGCGAACCCTACGCTCGCTCTCCGCGTGCACTCCCCGCAGAGAGAGCCATGACGTCGCCGCCGCCAACGTCCTAGCCGTTGTAATGCAGCAAACTAACCCTCTCCGAACGATTCTGGCTGCTGCTGTTCTCAGAGGAAATGGCGATGGTGGTTTCTGCTGCCTCCTCAGGAGCCTAACCTGGAGGGACGAACAAATTCCTGCCGAGCTTGCATCAGCCTCTTCTTTAGGCGCTCGAAAAATGTAGATACTCTCTTTTTGGGAATTTATTCCGCTCCTGCCAAGCGACGTGTGAGCTCATCGGGTGCTCATAAGCACGATCCGACAGCGCGAAGGAGCGGAGGAAGTCCTTCCGGGTTCGCGTATCCCACGAAATGAACATCGTCCGGAGCAGGATCCCACGGGGTTTTCGAGGAGGGACCGATCCGCAGTGGTGGAGCTTGTCGGACAACAAGATCAACGGCGGCAAGGAGTAAGGGGAGAAATTGTGTCGGAAGGAATTCTCATTAGGAGAAGGGATTAGGAACCCAAGAGATGCGTTCTCAAGTCTCCTGGCTCGCTAAGATTCCGTTTTTTGGGACTGTCGATGTTCGTCCATTCGATAGACGCTCCTGGCTCTCCGCCCCAGTGAAGGCTCGGGGCCCTCGAACATACCATTCTCGCGACGTGGATCCTCACTGAGTGAGGGACTACCTACTTCCGGGGCTCGGTATTCTTGGGTTGTCATTGAGGGACGAATTGAGGGAGGTCGGATATCGGAGTCAGATATGGGCTCGAACACTTCAAAAGAGCCTGTGTGACCACGACGTCGAGCGAGGTCGCTCAGTTTCCCCGGATCGAAGCCCGATCTCGCGAACCCCATCGTTGAGCTTCCTCGGTGAACCGGATTTGGCTTACTTCATCAAGCGGACCCCTTGAGTCAATAAAGACGCTCAGAGCGGAGACCCTCGTCCGCTGCACCCGGTCAGATCGTTGCAGGCCAGTCGTTCGAGGTTTCTCGCTCCTTGCGACGCTTTCCCCAGCAGCCACCTCGACTCGGATTGTGGAGGAGAGCCGCGCAAGAGAGCTCCAATCCAAAATGGCGGCTCACAATGAGCGATTTTCCCCGACATCATAATATGAGTTTCGAGGAGTGGACTGCATAAGGAATTCGATCCTGTGACTTGTACTCAGACCGAGGAGTTCTTATTCAGAATGAGCGCGACACTAATTGACCGAGTGTAAAGCCACCGGAGAAATGTCTCCTCGTCGGATTAACTAGACGGCAGGTCCTTGGGAAATTTTCCAAAGGAAAACAGCAAGGATGAAGCGAGTTGCGTTTTTTTTGATTGCATTATGCGAGATCTCGCTCAGCGACGGTCATAGGAACCACGGGACTGGGCACAGCCATCATCGGATTTCCCATCGACATGTTCGTGAACCGAAAGAGCTGCACTTGGCAGCAGTGTTCCCCATGCAAGGTGGGCAATCGGAATAGGAACGATTCACTGGGAATTCGCCCTGCTCCAGGGAGTCTGGGGCATATCTTCCATCAAGAACTATCGGATACTGTCGATTGGGGAAAATATGAGGACTCGAAGATCGCAACAGATTGCGACTTCTTCAGCCTCCGTGACTATTTCTCTTCGAATCTCCAGACTTCCCAGAGAATTGTCGCTTTAGCTATCCTCAAATAATATGGGTCGTTCTCTGTACATAGGGCATGGAGGATGGCTCGGAGGTCAAGGGTGTTTGCCAGCCGCTCTCATGGCACTTGAAGATGTCAACAACCGCACCGACCTTTTATCCGGTTATAAACTTCGACTTCATTGGAGAGACAGCCAGGTAATAAATAATTGTAAACAGACGTGCATCTAACCCACTCAAGGACCTAAGTGTGGCTCACAGACTTCCTCGGAGTGACCTACTTCATCTTGTCAAATTCAGTGCAATCCTGGAAAGGCTGCCAGTGAAATGTACGATCTCTTGTACGATCCTCCCACTAAGCTCATGATGCTCGGTGGTTGCTCAATCGTTTCATCGACCATCGGAGAGGCAGCAAAAATGTGGAATCTCGTTGTGGTGTGTATTACTTATTTCTGGGCAGTGAAATTGATAACTACGGGACCGTCGAGAAGAGACCATCGAGGAAAATTCTAATCCTGTGAACCGGACCATCGCTCTCGCAGGTATCGTACGGGTCGTCGAGTCCAGCGTTGTCGAATCGCCATAGATTCCCGACTTTCTTCAGGACACATCCGTCAGCGACGATACACAATCCAACCAGAATAAAACTTTTCAAGATGTTTGACTGGTCTCGAATCGCCATCATCCAGGAGGCCGAAGAAGTGTTTACCTCGGTATGAATATTTTCGAATCGCCTCCATATGGGATTTCCTTTCCGTCTTTTGAGTGTGACCTCTTCGTCGTCCACAGACGGGCGTGGATCTTGAAGCTCGATGCAAAGAGGCGAATATCGAAGTCGTCTCCCGAGTCAATTTCATAACAGATCCTACGGACGCCGTTAAGACTCTCAAGGTGAAGTTTCCTTCGATCGATGGGAGAGTGTACTGCATCGATGTTTGCATCATCTGAGGATCTCTGTGACTTTTAAAGTACCGGCATGACTTTCCAGAGGCAAGATGCTAGGATAATCGTGGGTATGTTCTACGTAGCTGCGGCTCGTCGGGTTTTCTGCGAAGCCTACAGGTCCGTATGTGGAGCTAGTCGCCGAAATCCTCTGAAAGGGATACGGGGAGAGATTGCAAGAAAAAATGACGTTTTATTTTCAGGCAAAAAATATTTGGAAAACAATACGTATGGCTCCTGATCGGTTGGTATGAGGACGATTGGTACACAATACAAGACAAGGTTCGGTCATCGGGCGAGCACATTGTGCGGGCGAATCCGGCTAAAAAATGTTCGGAGCTCATTCGGACGGAGAACCAAGAAATTCGATTCACTTCCAGGGACACAACTGCACAACGGAGGAATTGAAGCAAGCTCTCGAGGGACACATCACGACCGAAGCCCTGATGTTATATAAGGAAGAAAACAAAACAATCTCTGGAATGGCATGTTCCCTTCCTCTCTGTTACGGCCTTTGACGGAATAATCAGCATCTTCGTTGAACAAGAGCTTTGTCATGTCGGAGAACATGTCGGTAGATACACATGGATTCTCTCTTTCTGTAGACCTCTCGGACTTTCATGGATCGTTACATACAAACCCTGGAGAAGGACAACAACACCAACGGAAGACGACCCGAAGGCTTCCAGGTATAGATATCGAAAAGTTCTGATGTTTTCACGACTTCGCTCGGGGCCCATTGGAAATATGCACCGGCGATTTTCGGGGAAAAGCGACCAGAGCAGACTGATTCCCTATTTCGAAAACAGGAAGCGCCCCTGGCGTACGACGCCATCTGGGCTGTAGCCCTGGCTCTCAACAAGACCATTGCTCGGCTCAAGCAAAGGGGAGAGCCCATCGAGAATTTCACTTATACCAATAAAAGAATTATGGGAGAACTATGGAAGGCCATGAACGCCACTCAATTCCTCGGAGTGTCGGTGAGTCTGTCTGATCCATCAGAGAGCTCGAGCTATTTCGAAACTTCTCACCAATTCATGGGGCGCTTCGTTCCATGCAGGGCTACGTGAGTTTCTCGGCGAAGGGAGATCGTATGGCTCAGACTCAGATAGAGCAGATGATCAGTAAGTGAAGAGTTATTTGCGTTCAAGAGAAAATAATAGTTCGCTCGGGAATGAATCCGAGAATCTGATCCTTTGGCTCTTCAGACGGGACCTACTACAAGATCGGGTATTACGACTATCCGACGGACGACTACCAGAAAACTATCAACGAAGCACAATGGATTGACGGAAAGCCGCCCCAAGATCGAACAATCATAAAGGTTGGTGCGAAACAGGGATATTCTCGTCGCCCAAACGAGAGCGATACGGGGGGGGATCATTTCGGTCGATTACCCCGAGTCATGACAACCTTGCATAATTCTCCCTGACAGACAACACTGCGGACTGTTTCCCTCGGATTATTCCTCGGAATGACCACGGTCGCCTTCCTTGGAATCATTTGGGCGATTGGTCTCCTCATTTTCAATTGGGTCTTCAGAAATTCGCGGTGAGTAGTCTTTGAAGGAGTACCATCCCAGAAACAAGAAAGAAGTTTGCGGGGGCGATATGGTACTTAAACTCTTCCCCACAGATACATCGCATGGTCACATCCATCGTGCAATAACATTCTCCTTGTTGGCGTGATCGTGTGTCAATTCTCCGTCGCGCTATTGGGTACGTGAACGAACGCAAACTTATACCGCAGCGGCATCCTGAGCCGCTCGAGGGGCACAGTGATCATCGAGCGTTTTCACCATGAATATCAGGTGACGAAAGTTTTCATAAAACGTCGCTGATTGCAGGGCTCGACGGTCAATTCGTCGAAGTTTCGCTGTATCCGCACATTTGCCAGTCGCGTGCGTGGCTTCTCACCACGGGCTTCAGTCTGGCCTTCGGTTCGATGTTCTCGAAAATTTGGCGAGTCCATCGATTGGCTACGAAAGCGAAAGCCGAATCGAAAGTTGAGGTAGCTACAAATGCGCCGGCCTTGGAGTCGATCGAGCAGCTCGATGAGCCGCTGCAAGGATAATGATTTTCTGAATAGAATGGAGGTACTCCGTGTCACCCGTGGCTGCTGATCGACCGGTCGCCCGATTTAACGAAACTCGTAGTTGCAGAAAATCAAGTCGTGGAAGCTGTACTCGATCGTGGGAGTGCTCTTGTCGATCGACTTCATTATTCTGGTGGCATGGACGGTGATCGATCCAATGCAGGTCAGTAGACACGCGCTACGCAATCGAGGAGGCGAGCATCGTCACCATTAGAATACTTGACTGAGTATGCTCGCTAACGCAGGTCCTCCATTGCAGCGCAAAATTCAAATATTTCCACATGAAGACCCGCCGGGTGACATAGATGAGGACGTCAAGATCCAGCCGGAACTGGAATTATGCGTTTCGGTACATCATAATATCTGGCTCGGTGTCATGTACTCGTACAAAGTAAGACCCGTCTTTCGTCTGTCCGCTATCCGTACAAATACCTAGTTTCTCCGCCCGCCGGATATCGAGTTTCCGGAACTTTCTCACCTGTTCTATCTCGGATTCCAGGGACTGGTCCTGCTATTCGGGATATTTCTAGCCTACGAAACAAGATCTGTCAAAATCAAGCTCCTCAATGACAGTCGCCTGGTGGGAATGTCAATCTATAACGTCGTCATCCTCTGCTTGATCACCACACCCGTTACAATGGTACGTCTGTTCTGGCTATTCACCTTCACATCGCGGTCGCGATTCCCGCTGGTAATTCCCGACGGCGCGACGAGCCTTGGAGCCACTTAACTAGGTTTCATCACATTCCATCAGGTTATCGGATCACAGCAGGACGCCTGCTTCGCATTCGTGGCTCTCGCAATAATATTCTGTTCCTACATCTCCATGACGCTGGTGTTCATCCCTAAGGTGAGAATCGGCGCCAGGAATGGTGTCCAGATATCCCGAGGGAGTTCCGTAGCCAGGGCAAGCATGCCCGGTGAATGTACGGATGCCGAGTTTCAAGCATTAGCTTCAGGGAACTCGGCAAAAGGTCCAACGCAGCCATTCGATGATTGTGGCCGGCAGATTTTGAGCTCGACATGGATAAACTTATTGCATCTTCATCGGTAGATTGCAGAATTGATCCGACGGCCGAGGGAGAGACAGGATTGTCGAGGTCTAGCCGATAATGTCAGTTCCCGCGAGGAAGAAGAGAAGCTCCGCAAGTTACAGATGGAGAATGAATCTCTGAAGAAACAGATACAAGAGGTGAGGCGCTCGATCGTGTTCTAGATAATCTCCATTCTTCCTGATATCGGGAAGCTGAGACGCGCCATGGTTTGGGAACGTCGAGGGGTTTCGGAAAGAGGTTCCCGGGCGCAGTATTCGGGGATAAGAAGCCCCAGGCCTTCCTGGGGATAAGAAGCTTCAGGGAGCGCTTTTCGGTATAATCTATCGGGTCGGGATGGCATACTGACACTATCGTTCATATACTTACAGAAAGAGGATCAGATAGAAGCGATAAAAACTAAGCTCGCCGAAAGAGCCAAACTCGCCAGAGTGCATCCTTTGGAGAATTCTGCGATAGCCGTCCGTAATGACGATCAGACCAAGATCACAAAAGGTTACTCCCTCTATGTCTTAATTTACGAGGATCGACGCGACTTCGTTCTTTGGAACTCGTTAAGCTGAAGCTCTGTCTTTCAGATGGCGTAGAAAGTCGTGCTTCCCCCGCAACGGCGATCCGTCCTCCAGTGACTCTTCAACCATCGATTCCTTGCAGACAAGGAACGCCGCTCCAGACCGATCCAATGTCAGAATCGGGTTACGTTACGGGGGGTTCAGCTTCGTGCATAAAGCGAGGCTCAAGGGCATCTCATTCAGACTTCAACTTCTCAGAGTCGTACCTTTGAGAAGTCGAAGTGACGGCGGAAACCCGATGCGAGTAACGGCAGGAACAGATTGACGCTCGGAGAGATTTAGCGAGCAACCAGACGATTCGAGCTTCACAAGCGATGCTATGTTAGGCTCTTCCTGGTTTAGGATTTGATTCTGAATGAAAGTCCCTTGACCCCCTCACCCTCAACACTCAAGTTTGAATGTACTCAATCGGTCGGTATCATCACGACTCACTCACGGCGGTAAGGGCGCCGAGACTCGTCTTTCTGAGTTCCTGAAGAGTCACGATTAGCGACACTGTACCTTGACCCAAGTCCCGTGTAAAATATGAGTAAATAATTTGACTGCATCAGACCCGCAGTCGTGCTCCAATCGGAGAATAGATATCGCATTTCTGAAGATGCGACGGTCCACCGGGAAAATGGAAGACAATTCATTTCGCCGCATCGGATGCCATGGATGCTCCCCAATTTGAGTTGATGTATCCGTGGAAAAGAGTCCTGCCAACGATTATTATTTACGAGCGAGCCCGGAATTTTTTTCAGGATTGCCCCCCGGGTGAATGACCTGACTCCCCATCGATGCCTGATAATTCCTCCTCTTAGATCAGAGAAAAGTCCGTCGACCTCATTATGGATCGACCTTATTATGATCAATGAAAGAAATGTCTTTGGAGTAGATATTGAATCTCGGTGTTGCACATGTTATAGTTATCTCTGAGGAAAAGCAATCTGTTGACTTGGCGACTGTAACTCAACATAGGTGGAATTCCTTCGGATAAATAATGAGTACCTCTCACAATGAGTCTCATCGATGTTTGTCTCAACCGTAGTGGAAGTCGTTCGACAGCGAGCCTGAGCCTTGTGTTCCCTTGAGCAAGTCATTGCGCGGAGGAGCCGTGATTGCCGCGGTTTCTCGCGTCGATTTTGAGAGAGTCTGAGTGCGCCTCGGTGAGCGATAAGTCTGCGAACCCTCGTCTTTGAAATTACATATCCTCCCTTCGATAGATTCCGATTGTGTCTACTTCCGCTAATGGCTCCAGAAGGGAGGGAAGAAACCACCACTCGAGCTCCACTGGGATTTATTTTTCTGCTTCCGTTCGCCATGGTATAGCCGAGGTTTGCCATGACGACCAGGAGTCGAAGATTGTCCTCGTTCTGAGAAGCCCAGAGAGAGACTCAGCTCGGCTCTGGACAATCTCTCATTCAATGAACATCAGATGAATATACCTATTATCCGGTATCTCGCCCGGGAAATCACTAGCGGGGATCCTCCACCTCAAGGAATGATGAGTAGGAACTCTTGAATCCAGTGCGAAAATTCGCACGATGAACAGAGTTCCGGCGACCTTTCGGACGCTCTAATTGATATTGCACCGACGAAAGGAGAGGTCCGAGCATCCGGCGGATTAAAGCTCGCTCTTGGAGTCATTCGGAATCGACGTGATTCTCTGGGAGACAATTTCTTGAACTTTGGTAAAAACGATTCTCATGTTTTCCAAGCCTCGCAAACTACGATCCACGAGGCGTTGTAGGTCTTCTAGCTGATGTCGATGTCGCACCTGGCGAGTAAAAGATGAGCTTGCTATGGAAAACCGTCACTAAAATGGACTCACTCGAGCCATACCCGGCGTCGATTTCAAGACGCGAAGAAACTGAGAGTTGGATATTCCGAGAAGGCGGTCAGTATGGCACGACTTCCGAATGGGGGCCCTACCTGGCTTTTGATGTAGGCGTTCTTCCAACCCGCAGCGGTATTTGGCACGTCCCTCTCAAGTTCGAGAGCACCCACATCGAATTCGTTCTTGTAACTTCTATGGATCAAGTAAACATTCAGGAGCAACAAGAGACCAACAGCCAAACAAAGGAAATTCAGAAGATAAGGATACACGACGCCGCTCTTAGGAGGCGCTACGTCGATCGGTTTCACCAATCCGCTGTCGCCGGAGGAGTCCACTATGGCATCCTCCGTTTCTGAAAGAGGAGTGTCTCATCAGATAACTCATCTTTCGGAGTCCCTGGCTCCGCCTCCGTCTCGCAGATGGGATTCAGGAAAAAAATCATGATATGACGCCTCTGATGATCTTGAGGACTAGTCCGAGATTCCAGAATAATTAGTCCGGATCGATACGAATCACCGTCACCGCACAAATTCTGCTTCTTTTGATCGTGATCAGAGGGAGGAGATCCAGATTCTCACCTGGGAGGGTGGGCACCGTCTGTCCTCTTTCTTCAGCCAATCTTCGGGCCTCCCTGTCGAGAGCTCGCTGCAATTCTGCAGCGAAGTCTGCGGTCCCTTGCACAGTGTTCCGCTCGATGAGTCCTTTCATGACCCACACAGGTTTCCGGAATTCGATGTCACAAAACAGCCTCAGGCGACATCTGAGGGAGCGGTGATGATTGAGTATAGAAAAAAATTCCGATTGAGGGGCGGTAATTTCTTTCTGAGTTTCGGAAATCTCACCTGTTTTCGCCTTGCTTCTCCAGACAGATGTGTTGTAGAACCACGAAAGTGTCGGCGTACGGAATACCGCTGTTCGAGAACTCGCAATCGACCGAATACATCTTGCCCGGTTTCGACTGTCGATGAAGATTCTGCTTCTCGGTGGTCACACAATTCTTGGCTATGGCCATGTTGACATTCACCGAGTAAGTCAACGCTCGTTCTTGTTTGACATCTTCGCTGTCCGACGGCTTCCAATTTCCGAAGACGATATTCGTAATTTTCCTACGGCTTGCAAGTTCTTGGTAGAATTCCGACGCTGGGGAAGAGATCGATAGAAATTGAGGATCGATGATTCGAGCTACCTCTCGCTACCGAGGAAGACCAATATCACCGGAATCCGGTCGACCTCATGCCCCATGTGAATGCAGAGGCTCTTCTTCCGTGATTGTCTCTACCGAGAACTGAATCTCACCAACCTGTGAAAAGGCACGTGAATGTATGATCGATGTCAAGAGCGAACGTTCTGTCGAGATACTTCTTCATCCCATGAGTACTGGGACAAGAATCACCCTCTGCGTCCTGCTCTTCACTGGAAGATGATTTCAGATCTCGATCAGGTGAAGATGAGATGGCTGAATCCTTAGCTGCATTGTTTAAGGGGAAGATCTCCGATGCCGATGACGGTCTTGCGATTTCAGCCTCTTCGACCGGAGCCTGAGGATCGATTACGGAATCTTCAAATTATTTTCTGGATTCTGGGTCGGCATTTCGTACTGGACGGACTTGCTGAGCGATGTCCTCGGCTTACCTCCGTCAAGCTCTTTATATCAATCGATCTACAGGTGGCCAGGTCGTCGGGAGCGATATAGTCTTCATCGTCCGTACTCAGACCGAGTTCGTCTCCATAGCTACAATGAATCTGGAAGTCGGCACATCGTCAAGTTCAGGGCTTGCTTCACTCGGCGCCGGCGTCACTCTATGGTTTTATGTATATCGGGTTTTTCTTTCTGATTTACCCATCTCCAACACTCGGCGGTCGACATCGGTTGTTCAATTAGTGAATTCTGCCAGAGACGGAAGAGCATCAAATACGATTTGTCTCTGGCTGCGAAGGAAGTGAAAAAATATCGGTCCCCAGCCTCGGTGGAGCACTGTATGGCATTCGGTATCACCTACAAGGAATCCTTCGCTTATCATTCAGGCCGCTGGAGGAGCGTACCCTTGAACAGGGGTTAGAGGATGCTTCGGGACTTCTAGAGACTCAATTCTCTTGATCTGAGACTTTCTGCATAGAGTCAGACAGTTATGTTCATCATAGGTAGAGATCGATAAGTCTCGATTCCAATGGAGCCCGCGTCGATCACAAGGAATTGAGGGGGAGGGTAGGGAACGGTACGGTACTCACAAGAGCTGTCTTTTCCTTGGTCATGCTCGTTATATCTTTGCACTTTAAAACAACAGTCGTTTCCCATCGGAATATGTTCGCGTAGAAACAAAGATAGTTTTGAGTCACGTAAAGTCTTCCGTGAGCCAGAATTTCTCGTTGCAGAGCGCACGAGTAATCGACGATGAGCATTTCGCCTTCAGGTACGTCCTTGAATATCCGTCGGAAGTCTTCGCATTTGGATTTATACGTCGGTGATATGAGCTGAAATTGGGGCGAAAGAAGCTGTGAACTCCGTATACCAAGCGAGTCCGTGCGCATGCGGGAAACTGTATAGACTTACCACATTGTACCAAGCGCTCTTCCGACTTTTCTTGCTCTTCTTCCTCGACGAATCCGTGGGCGCGGCCGGGGTCGTAGGTGAATTGAGCTTTGGAGCCGCATTTCTAGAACTCTGGAGGGAAACCACAGACGACCGCCCGACGCTTTCTTGACTGCCTGCGGCCGGCCTTGTTAGAGCGGAGCTTTCCTTCAAGGATTCTTGCGCATCAACGACGGTTTCATCGATGCTCGTTCCGTTCGCCGCGTGAACTGGTGGATCGAAGAAGAATTCGTGGATATCAAAGATTAGGATTGGAATTCTGTCAGATGAACGGGCAGGAGGAGAATCATCATGAGACTGACCTTGCAACAGAGGGACTACATCGAGACTGGTGGGAGTTGTCGGTCTGCTGGATTTTTTCTCCTTCTCGACATGAATCAAGTCCGGCGAGGAGCTGGGAGCACTTTTGCTCAATACGGGATCTGATTTTTTCCTGAAAACGAGTTTTCTCTTCATGACGGGTCCCGGATTCGCGCGATTGCGAATGACCGAGCACGACGTGACGCTCTAATGGAGTATGCTCAGGTTTCCCTTTCGAAAAATAAAACGTCCAGATGCTAAACGGGTCGCCGCGTCGAACGTTTTCCCAAACTGCCCGGGTTACAAAGATGGAGCGGAGGTCAGCAATGCTCGATTTACCGACTGGATCATTGCATCGAATCCTCATCCTTTAGCTCTGTCCCGTCAATAACGATCACTATTCGGGGGTCAAGGAATACGACCGAAGATCCGTTCTCATTTCCAAGGATATTCGAGAGACACGTCAGACGATACAATTTCGATGTCGCCAAAATTATGTCTGTACTCTACAGCTGGTCGTGGCACGCGGCTTGCTAAAAGTATCACCTAGATCGATCCCGAACGAAATTCCGAAGGCCAGAGACGTCATCACAATAGTCGGCCAGACGGCGAATAGATTATTTTGTTCCTCGAGAGCATCATATCGTTTCGCGACCGCTGCAGTGAGAACTAGATTGACATGAGCTCCGCTCTAATGGTTACCTGAGGGAGATTGCGTCTCCGCCGGATGCAGGCAAATTTGTCGATGAGGCTTGGTTCTGATCCCTCAAACCTATATGTGTTGACCCTATGGCCTGGAGAGCTTGAGCAGCTCTTGCATTTGCTACGCTCGGAGGCGCGAACATGCTTCCATTCATACAAATGCTGCGCAGTCGATAAGAGGTAACGAATATCGGCCAATCATCCGGCTTCAATTCCTTTCTCTCCGATCAGGCCGTTCTCCTCGATGCAGCGAAATGTTTCAGAAGGATCGAGACGGAGAGAATGAGTGGAGAAGGAAAGGAAGATCGACTGTTCAGGGACTCTGTAGCAGGATTTGAGAAGGTGCTCTGAAAGATGCGATCAATCAGAGCGGGACTGTTAGTTGGGTTATACTGGCATATGTTCATGTCAGAAAAGGGAAAAATGAAGACGTCGGCTGGCGCCCGAGTGAGATTTGAACGAGACTCGACTCCTCAAGACCGGCACCATCGGAGCTTGGGGAGTCTTTTCTCGAGGAGCGGAATATCCACCCCTCCGTCCAGTGCTGAAATCTGCGTTGAATCGGTAGAATCGAAATCGGGATAGATCAAGGTTCAAAGTCCCCAGCGATAAGAGATACAAATCTTTAGAATCCCTGGACATTGAGTCCATTGGGAGGAAGGAAATTTCCTGGTTCATCGTTCTGGAAGACTTTCGAGCAAGATCGATACCGGAAACATATTTTCCGTGAAAAAGTGGCGGAATCGAGCTTCAAAAAGCCATTAAGCTACGTCGGATCACATTTTTACAACCGATGGAATCGGATTCGAGATGAATGTTCCCGATCCAGAATTTATGCCGGAAAATCTCAAGCCACGATCAATCAACAGACGGCCAGCGTATACGCCATCCTCATAGGATGGAATATATTCCCCAGACCTCCTCCGAACCTCTTTCGCGCCCATCATGAGGCATATCAGCGTTTTCATCAGTTTTCTCACGGCCACTGACTTTGTCCGTCTGACGTTCTCGCGCTGAAAGGCTCATACTCAAGGGAACGTCTCTCTGCCCCCAGAACTGAACTCTTGCTCGTAATCGATGATACACCATGATGCTCCGGTACGCCTTCTCTGAATGCGGATAAATTCCCCCAGCCCAGTGTATATTGCATCGACTGTATCCCCCTCCGGGTGTGCGGGGACGGGAAAAACGAATATCGAAGGCTTTCCCACGAAAATCGAGCCGACGAATCGGGCACGACCTGCGATCGCCCTCTATAATTGCCCTTTAATAGATGCATCTATTTCCTGAGATTCACCGCGGAGTCATTCGACGCCATGGGTGCCACGGAGCTATTATTCCTTCCTCAGGGTTTCTATCCTGGATTGGAGCGGGATCTTCACAACCTCTGCCCAACCTCCGACTTGATTCAGAGGGAAGCTCCTCGGATAACCATTGAGACGATCGGGGAGCTCGCTCGGATAACGTGAGTCAAGCGGTGCGAGGAGATGGCTGACCACACGGCCTCTGCTCAAACTGGAATCATGGTCGCACGGATCAAATCGAATTTCGAACTGACCTGAGATGTCGGGGTTTCGGAGACAACTTTTTGTCGTCGATCGGCACCGTCTCATCCGGCCTCGATTGGAACGAATGTGCTCTCGTGATCATCGCTCACAGATTTGCATTATATCCCGCACACTGCTCGTCCAAACTTCATCTGACTTGGTGAGGGCTTACAGCGTTTCGGCTTTTCCTTAATGATTTCCTTCTGCGCCTATCGGTCGGTAGGTGATGGCACCACAGACATACGCGGCGAATTATGACATCGGTTCTCCTCGACTACGAGTCTGACCGTCAGAACTTGAATCAGTTCGGCGAACGCACAGACAATAAGTCTGTCACTTAATCAATCGGTAGTCGATCAAGTATTAGAGAGCTAGTCAGCCATATGACGACAGCCCTCTCACCACCGTAAGCGTCGGAATTCGGAGAGACTCTTGTCAACTCGCGAAGTAAATAGACATTAAGTTCCCCAGAAATACAGGACTTCCATCACCGGAGAACGCAAGGACGCTATCGATCGAGCCCGCCCCGCCTCCCCGGGACAACGGGGAGGCTCCGGATCCAAACCCCATGAAGTTTTCTTGAAGTACCCGTCTGATTTGTTCGGGAAATCGGCCAGACGCTGATGGTGATGATCTTTGCTTGGACACAATCACTTTTCAAGGTTCATGGATCTTTATTGCGTTATAGTGCGACTGTTTATGGTTTATAATGCGACAGCTGGGGGGATAATACTCCGGAAATTTCGCTACCCTCTAGACTTGTGAGCTCGTAAGCTGTCTGCTTAGCCTCGAGTCCTCTGACTGGGAAGATTCTTGCACGCAGGATGAATATTTCCCCGAAGGTGGCGCCTCAAGCGAAGGTGGCTCCTTGGAGTAGACCTCTGCTCTGAGCACAGAGTCAGCTGAGGGCGAAGTCAATCTGATTCTCCAGAAGATACTCCCGGAGCGATGGAGTCCCCCAAATCTTCGCCCTCTAGTTTTCCGCTCGTGTGTATTGACATAGAAGTTAATCGTTGACGATCTCCAAGGTCTAACATGCATGCGACGGATTCTTGAACGCATGCCTCGAAATGCTGATAACCCACTCCTTCGAGAAATGATTCGCTCTGAATGGCGTGAGAATTTTCTCCCCTCCTCAGAATTACAGGATGGGCTGACTGAAGACGGCTCTAAACCCAACACCTGCGTCAAAAACCACTGCACACTTCCAGCGATTGCGCAAAACGATTTATTGAACTGCAATCGATGTCTTCCCGAAAAGGACTTGGAGCAGCCCTCGACATAACCACAGAGTCCCTCCGCAGAGAGCACTCGGACGGAAATCCGCCTATCTCACACTGAGGTACACGTTTCGTGAAAATTCAAAAAACTCTATCCTGATATTGTCCGTCGTTGTTCTGGTGAGGTTGCTGAGGCCGCTGTTGATGACCATGCTGTGGTTGTTGCATGTGTTGCCGGCGATTTTTCTGCGCTAGGAATTCGAACATCGACCTATCGATTGTGGACAACGTGTTCGCCAAGTCACCTGTCGGAGAATTATAGATCAGCATTCGCCTCATAAAGCTCTGACACTGCCGATCTCGGGTGTTTAACGTCTCGAACATGTCCAACTCACATGGCATGGGATCCGTCCAGAAAAAGTCGTGATTCAGAGCGTTGTCGGCATCTATCCTATCAGCCGGATTCAAGGTCAACAATTTGTCCACCAAGTCCAGGGCGAGTGCGTCTTTTATGTACATGGCGAGCCGCGGCCGAACTTTCCGCTTCTGATCTTTGGGTAGATTGAGCTTCGGGTAAAGATCCAATTTCTCGACACCCGGCCACACCTGATTCGTAAGAAGAAGAGGATTTTGAGTTTTCGATCGGTGCGGGAATCGTCGTGAGCGGAGAAGGATACATTATCCTGAATCTGGACCTACTGAGCTCACCTTTGTACTGATTGATCCGCACAGTTGCACTATGTAAGTTAATTGAGTTTGCTCCGAGGATCCCTGGGTGAGAGATTCAGCGAACTTTAGTCTGGGCAGTCGAAAATCGACGATATCATACATGGAGATGTAGATTGAGACTCGAGACGGCCTTCCGGAGTTTGGCGTTCGAGGTTCTCGGTATCACCCTTGAGGTCTCAATACTAAGAGCGTACCTGCATAATGGGCGTCCTTGTCCACAACTCGGCCATTATGCATCCTGCTCCCCACATATCGACGGCTGATGTATAATTCCGCTCACCGAGCAGCAGCTCCGGAGGACGATACCAGAGCGTTACCACTCGATTTGTATACCTGAAGAACGAACGCTCAATTCATGGTTTGCTCGACTAGCTACTGGAGGGTTCCGATTTATCACGGTGGCGCCTGATACCTGTTAGGTTGATCTTTCTTTGGCTGGCTGAATGCTCGAGCTAAACCGAAGTCGGCAAGCTTCAAGACACCATTCTTCGTTATAAGGATATTTGCCGCTTTCATGTCCCGGTGCAAGATTTTGTTCTCATGGATGAAGAATAGTCCATTAAGTAGCTGTTGCATTATCTGTAAATAACGAACACCGTTTGATAATCAAAAAAGGAATGAATACACCTTCGACGAATTATTCCCATACGAGTATTTAAACATCATGAATGGCGCGGCGGCGATCTGATGGTGTCAGTCTGATGACTGACGACATCCGGAAAAATCGTGCGCTCAACCGCGTTTTCTCCGGAACATCTCTGTTCCCGACTCCGTGCGCGTCTCGTTTGATAACTTCCATCGCTAATAATTGAGGGATTCTTCTGATTATGGAGTGTGCTGGATTTGCAGCGGTCCAATCATTAGCCGATTCCTGTTTTCTGCCGACTACCCTGAATTTTTCGACTTGCGATGGAAGGCGACTCGATCTGGCTTATTCTGAGATATCTATGAAATCAGATTCCTCGGATTCAGATTCAGATTCCGCGATAGATCGCAGAGCATTACGAGTGTGCCAGCGTTCAACGGCTCACTCTTCTAAATTCTACGCGGGTAGCGGGATGTGCAAAAGCTTTTCAATCTCATGAACGATTTACAATCAACTCCGGGGTCAATCGACCGGTCGAAGGAACGAGCATGGATGTTTTCGAGAAGACTTTAGAGTTAGGGGGATGCACCCACAAGGTCATTGAGAGAACCCGCTTGATTGGCGAGTCCGGATATGGATTAATTAATCGATTGAGAAGCGGGGTTCCGAAGAACCACCCATTGCTTCGGGTGTGGGAGACTATCGCGACCATAAACCCTGATTCGCCCAGCTGGTTCGAAGCGACCCGGTACAAGCGGTGTTTGAGGGTCGCTTCGTCGGCATCCCACGATTCCTCCAAGTTCTATCTTTATCGTCGTCAATAAAGTTTCTCGTCTAAATTCCTAGGCGGAGTACTTCCGCCTCCGATGATCGCGGGATCTCGTGCGCGAGACTTCGGTGAGCCTATTCGACCAATTCTTCAAACAGAGCTCAATTGATCTCGCGTTCGAGGTATATTCGGAAAGACGATTGTCCGAAAACATTTTCGTGAATCAGGGAAGACTGATCTCAAAGTTTTTCCACACAGCTACAGGCAATCGCGACGAATAATTGTACTATATACTACCACGAAATGCGGTACACCAAATTTTCTCAATGAAGAACACGAAGGATGCGCGAGCATCGATGATCGAATCGAGCTCTGATTCGAGGAACCCGCACGTGGGAGACGGGGCTGTGGTCGTCGAGAAAGAGACGACCAACTCGAGCGATACGCCTGGCAAGTAGTGCACGAAATACTTCTGGCCTCAGGAACACAGAGCGAACTTACCTTCTTTATCTCACCGGCCGAAAACTTGACGTTCACGTTGCTCAATAAACCAGCCAGATCATGCTCACAAAAATCAAAGACGAGATAGAAAGTAGCTTTGCATTGATTCGCGGAATTCGCTGGAAAAAAAATCGAATCGTGAAACTCAGCCTTCAGAACCGATCTCACCTCCGCGTCTTTCGAACAACGGAACGTACGTACGATCTTCTACCGCATATGATAAGTGGTATTCACGAACCTTTCGTTCTGCAGATCTCAATAAGGTTCACCACGTTTTCATTTTTCAACAGTTGGAGTATTCTGATCTCCCTCAACGCAGTTATTGGGAAGCCTTCCTTCTCATTGTCCATGAGAACTTTTTTCAAAGCAACCAACTTGTTGGTCTGTCTATGTCTGGCTTTGAACACCTCACTGGAATATTAAAGCAGGGATAGAAATCGTCCTCGAAACGGATACAATAACGTCTTCATTCGCGGTTCCTCACCCAAAAGTGCCCTGTCCAATCTTTGTGATTTTGTCATATTTATTGATGTCGTCGCAGAACGGGAATTGGAAGTCGTCGATCTTCGACATCAAAGTAGCCGAGTAATTGGAACTCATCCTGGAGTCACCAGCTCTGCAGAGCCAGTTCACAAGAACCTAGACACCGATTCCTTCCGTTCCTGTGAGACACTGGAGACGGCCTCTTCGGAGCGACTAGGAATTCATTCAGAATGGGCATGGAATCACTTTTCATCTGGCGTTTTGTTTTCAACACGCGCGGAGCGTCGTCGTTTACCGATGCTTGCGAGAGAGGGTATCGATGAGCACTAATTTCCGCGCTCATGCTCCTCGGCGCGGGTGATTTGAACGCGGAAAGATGGCCCTCCGCATAAACCCAGGGTTTGCTCTGAGATCTCAGATCTTTCGCTTAAGCCATCTGCGGCTCCGTAAAAAAACTCCGTAAAAGCGTACTATAGTTCAGGTATATCGCTCGGAATCTTTGGAACATTGGAACACTCTGAATCCAGATATTGGCGGGGCGCGACGAGTGGTTTCGAAACCCTCCCGGCTCACTGGTCGTTTCTTCTCTTCCCCTTTTACTGATGTTTGGCTTGGGCGATTGAGGAGGACGCGCTGTTACCGAGGAGCACAGACCGGTAAGTTGATTTTAATCGTCTCAAATCTGGGGAGATTCAGCAAAATACCGAATGAGACCACCTTGCGAGACTACTCGGGGTAACACAAGATCACTTGCTGCGTCGAATCGACATCCGAACTCAGTACGCCGCAGCAGAAAACGTTATTGCTTCTTGCCTGTAGACGCCGACGATCAGCGGCATTGTTTCTGAAATTTTTAACCCTATATACATGTTGCCGACGTTTCCGCCGGATGAAATCTGATTCTTCAGACAGTATTTCCGGCTCGGACGAGAAGGTTTGTCAACTTCGGGATGTCGGAATAGGGAAATCGAGCGGTTACTTATTCGGACCCTCCGATGGCGCAAAAATTTGCTCATGTAGAGAAAAGGCTCTACCGGCGAGCAGCCGAGTCCTTCCCGATACTGATAAGTATCACCGGCGCAATGAACACCTATGGAGAGGCATCATGAGATATTTTGAGCGGAAAATCAGAACCGATCGAAACTCGCCACTCCGGGGGGAGTCGGCTATTGATATATGGCCGTCTCAGTCAGCCTCCTCGAAGGAAGCTGACCTATGAGATCCGAGGTTTTTCCGGTGCCTCGAGGAGTATCCAGAACATTGACCGCAGGTCCCGATGCTCGATTATTATTCGCTGCCGTTCGAATCGGGCTTCTCCCGTCTCTGGAGCACCTGTCCGTATTCGAGCGGTGCGTCAATCCTGACGCCGTGCCAGTGACTTCAGCGTGCAGGTACACACGTACCCCGAATTTCCATTGTACTTGTGGATGAATCCGAGCCCAGTAAGATTACCTGTGGCTAATCTCGTGTGGCTCCGAGAGGATCTGGGTCGTTTTTTCCTGAGAAAGATCACCATGTATATCCATTGCGAAAGTGACTACCGGTGGGGCACAAAAATCCTCAGACTTCGCACTTTCAGTTAGCGAACAAACGAACTTGAAACATGGCTGACACCGATCTTCTCGACTATGAAGACGAAGAGGACCAGAACCAACAGATTGCGGATGGAGCCGAAGCCGGCAAGGAAGTGAAAACACCTGCCGGAGGATACGTATCGATACACTCATCGGGATTCCGAGATTTCCTCTTGAAACCTGAACTCCTGAGAGCCATTGTTGATTGCGGTTTTGAACATCCGTCTGAAGGTGAGACTGCCGCCATTGCAGAATATTCGAGTCTCGAATTATTCAGACTGAGAAGGCGGTTCGAATCTATAGCTAAATGCTGACAATTTTTTTCTTTCAGTGCAACATGAATGCATTCCTCAGGCAATTCTGGGAATGGATATCCTGTGTCAGGCCAAGTCTGGCATGGGGAAAACAGCGGTTTTCGTTTTGGCGACATTGCAACAGCTCGAGCCTGTAGACGGCGAGGTTCGTTGCACTCCTCAAGCTTTCCTGATAGAGATTGTGATCCGCGAAGCCTCACTTGCCTCGTTGACATGACTCCTCTGATGGCCATAGATCTTCGATGAACGCGGGCTGCTCGAGCGAATCTGAACGCTGACCTTTTGAAATTGCAGGTTTCTGTACTCGTCATGTGTCACACTCGTGAGCTGGCGTTCCAAATTTCCAAGGAATACGAAAGATTTTCGAAGTACATGCCTGGTGTTCGCATCGGTGTCTTTTTTGGTGGATTATCCATTCAAAACGATGAGAAAACCCTCAAAAGCGCATGTCCTCACATTGTTGTTGGAACGCCGGGGAGAATACTGGCTCTCATCGGCTCGAAGAAACTATCGCTGAAGAACGTGAAGCACTTCGTTCTAGACGAATGTGACAAAATGCTTGACTCGCTTGGTAAGATGTTCTCCTGGTATAGATCCAACTACCGGTCGGAATGGCGAATGATTCATGAAGTTATTTGATTCTCTCCATAATGGTTGATGGTGGAAATTCTCAAAGTCAAACTTGATTCTCTTTCCAGGTAAATTCTTGCCCTTCTTAATGTCTGTCGTGGCGAGTTAGCAGTGGAGGACTTTGATGATGCTCATGGCTATGATGATTTCATGAAATGAGATGTTCTAATTTTGTCATCAGCGCCCGGTCACGACTAGTGAAGGACGATCGCGACCGTCGAAACATGTCCACAAACTAGACGTTTCACGGCACCATATTGATGTAGTAGTACTTCAAGATCCGCAAGGAATAACCTTGTCCTGCCTCCACTGCAGCGCGTACAAACTAGAACCTTCCTGAGACACGATTCCGTATTCCAGATATGCGTCGCGACGTCCAAGAAATATTCAGGAACACTCCGAATGAGAAACAGGTGAGTTTAACCTGCTCGATGGAGTCCGTCGACGCTCACCATCCTCGTTTCCGAATCAATCCTGCGCTTGAGTCTTCTATGACGGCGGATCTGACGTTTTTGTTCGTAGGATCCTCACAATGCTCTATCTGCAGGTTCTCATGTTCTCGGCGACCTTATCCAAGGAAGTTCGACCCGTCTGTCTCAAGTTCATGCAGGATCCAATGGAGATCTACGTTGACAATGAAGCGAAGTTGACCCTGCACGGTCTGCAGCAATACTACGTTAAGCTGAAGGACAACGAAAAGAATCGGAAACTGTTCGAATTGCTCGATGTGCTTGAATTCAATCAGGTAAGAATCACTTATCAGCAGAGGCACGATCAAGTGGGAGCCAGATAAGCGTTTCTACTCGCTCTGCTGCGAAATGCGAAAACAACCCTTCCCCATTCCAGGTGGTCATCTTCGTCAAGAGTGTTCAACGCTGCATGGCGTTGTCCCAGCTATTAGCCGAGCAGAATTTCCCCGCGATCGCTATACACAGAGCGATGACCCAGGAAGATCGACTTGCCCGTTACCAGCAATTCAAAGATTTCCAGAAGAGAATTCTCGTCGCTACCAATCTTTTCGGTAGAGGCATGGATATCGAAAGAGTCAACATTGTTTTCAATTATGATATGCCCGAGAGCACGGACACCTATCTTCACAGGTAAACGCGGCGTCTCGCCCTTGCCGAAATGCTGTAGCAGAAAATCTAAGGTCCAAGAGTCGCGAACGCGGAATCCAAATAACTCGTGATTTTGTTCAACAGGGTTGCTCGAGCTGGACGGTTCGGAACAAAGGGACTCGCCATAACATTCGTCTCCGACTCCGAGGACGCGAAAACCCTTAACGAGGTTCAGGATCGTTTCGATGTTAGCATCTCAGAACTCCCGGATGAGATCGATATCTCATCGTACATTGAAACAAACTGAGGCACTATGCTCAGCCAAGACGCTAAGCATCTTCTACTTCGAATACTATATACTGATATTACCGCATGCAAAGCCCAACAAGTCGTCTTGAACACCAAATAAATCAATCATTCATTGTGTACTTGACGTTCGTCTCATTGCCGCTCGTCGAAGAGATAAAATGTTTCTTTTCGCGCGTCAGTTCCCGCTGGTGACACGAGTCACGAGTTATCTTGTGCTGTATTTAAGAATCTGGCGACGAGCAGCTCATCTCAATGTTGGAAGGCTACATGAATAAAAGAAGAACGATTAAAGAAACGATGTACTCCTTCATAGTGTGGCGAAAACATTGATTGGGGAATGAGTCACAGACATGAGAAAAGCAAAGTATGCATTGAGGGAGGAAAGGATCGGTTTTTCCTCGGAGCTAAACAGACGGATCGGGAAGGCCTCACTCACCCTCATATGGTGGTCCCTGTTGCTGCGTACTATGGAAAAATGATCGAACCCCCTCTCGGAGTCCGAACCGGAGTCCCCCTCCTCGGCCCCCGCAACACTCGGTCCGCCTTCTCCTCCTGGCAGATAAATCTTGATGCGCCACTGATCCAACCCATCCCTCCAGGACGATCCCGGTTGCGATTCGTAATCGGAATCGGGCATCGAGTGCTTCAAAATTTGGAGAATTCTGGCGGAAAACTGTGGAGTCTTTGTGTCTTGCTGCCAACCTGTTGCTGACGATGAGACCCCGGATAGCGTTGACGCGAGAATTTTGAATTTTGAGGCGGCTGCTATCTAGCGTTAGTTGTCCGCGAACTCCGCGCAATGCCGATCTAGATCCATTTGACACAGTCCTCAACTGGTGAGTTTGACAGCCCTCGCCGACAGGACTGAGTGGAAGAGCGCTGTTTATCGGCTGATGGAGGAACGGAGCTCCACGACCTCCCGGAACTCGCCGGTTCGCGAGCCAGTGCCTCCGCCTGGTGGCGTGCCGCCGTGATCGTGGTTCTTCACATCTCATCCGAATGGGATTGTCGACAGCCTTTCTCTCTGGCGCCTCGACATCGATCGCCCCCATGACGATAATGCGGCCCAAGGAAGTATCCTTAATATCGCCAATCGGTTGCCTGGCTCTCAGGGGACTTTTTTTTGATGACCCGTATTACCCCCACCCCTCTCTCGCCTGATACTATGGGAATCACGATTCCGTATCTTTCAGGCGCCAATCACCCCAGAAATGCACGGGGGAACCATCAAAGAAGTTTCCCTCCCTTCTTCCACGTGGACTTGAGCACAGAGTAATTGTCTGCGGCGGGTTTTCGCTTTAAGTATGTGCCGCTCGTCGCGGAATCGGGTCAACGCGATCTGTGCTGGTCCCAGATAGCGGTCAGCAGAAGCGCTTCCAGAACAGCGTTTCCCTTTTCAGAGCCCCCTTTTCCCTTTCTGATTCTCTTGTCTAAGCGATGCTGGATCAGTAAGCAGGACTTACATCTGAGGAGACACGGAGATGTGGTCCTTTTTCGCTGTGTTTCTTGTGACATATTTTCTGCTCCATTATTTGAGCTGGAAAAAGTACCTTGAGGATGGGAAAAACGCGCGGAGACATCCTCCGAGTTTCTACGGCTTGCCGATCCTAGGATGCTTGCCGTTTTTCGTCGTGAAAAAGCTGCGGATCCGGTTGCTCCGGAAGCTCACCGAGAACCCCTCTCTCCCAGTCTTCAGGACTCGATTCTTAGGACTCGGAGAAGACGTGGTGTTCATCAATGGACTCAAGCCAGTGCAAGAGGCTTTCCGGAACAACGATATACTCGGACGGGAATGGCCAGTCGGATTCCATGATGTGGCTGAGGAGATCTTCGGTGGTGTGAAACCTTTCTTCCTGCTACAGGGTGACGAGTGGAGGATTCAGAAAAGGTTCCTCATCCACGCGCTCAAGGACCTTGGAGGTTATGGCAAGTCAACCGTTCTGGAAAGGGTGGTGACCGACGAACTCGACACGCTGTCTGGGGAGCTGAGGAAGACCGCAGGCGAACCTGTTTTCGTCGATCAGCTCTTGGGACAGTCCATGTTCAACAATATCGTCTCCTTCGTCCGCGGGGGCCGTGTCGACTATCGAACACTGTCAGACAGGAACTACGCGAACGTAATCTGTGGCTCATTCAGGTTCGCGGATAAAATTCTCGCCGTTTGTGTTCCCAGATTCGTGTTTCAGTTTCTGAAACAATTCGAAATCTTCGGAATAAAGGCCTATGTTCGTGTGGCAAATGCTATTAAGAAAAGGTTCGCGGATGAATTCGAGCAACACAAATCGACGTTCAACCCAGACGAGCCGAGGGATCTCATCGATTGCTATGTGGGCGCGTCGCTCGAAGACCCGGACAATTCTTACGTCCGTCATATGTTCGGGATGTTGTCCTCGATTCTCCTGGCTGGCAGCCACACGCTCCAGATCACAATCGATTATCTTCTGCAGCTGGCCGCTCACTATCCAGAGTATCAGCTGAGGATTCAAAACGAGATCGCAGAATTCATTGGCAAAGAAACGCCAACATACAGCGACATTGAGAAGCTCCACTTCGTTCGTGCATTTATCACGGAGCGACATCGATACTTCACCCTGACACCGATCGGGGTTCTGCGGACCGCGACTCAAGACACTACAATATGCGGCTATCACATCGCAAAGGGATCCCTGGTTTTCTATAATCTCCTCTCGGCGCACACAGATCCCAGAGAATGGGAGAGACCGCACGAGTTCATGCCTGAGAGATTCCTCGATGAAAGTGGATGCTATCGGAAGGACAACAACGTCATGCCATTCGCGCAAGGGAGGAGAGCATGTCCCGGTGAATCCATGGGAGAGCAGGAGACTTTCCTTTACTTTGTGACTCTACTGCAACGCTTCAATGTCCGACCAGCAGAAGGCAAGACTATCAAACTCGCCCAGAATGAAGGATGGTTTGCTGAGCTACCGATTCGACAAGAAATCCGAATGATAGCTCGCTCGTAAACTCCTGAGTGAAGTAATTTTTTCGTTGGTAAATCTTTCTTCCCCCGGCGCGTCACGTTTTCTGGGTCAGCCGATAGCGAAGAAAGAACCGTTCACTTCGAAGGCGTTTTGTCTGCTCCGACGATAGCGCCGCGTCGCAGAATTCTGTTCGCGTGACCGGAATCGAACCAGACAGCCAAGACATTCCGCGGATCCGCTTTCGCTATGGACTGTGTACACCGTAACGGAACTAACTCATGTCGAGGTTGAGCAGTCGGGGGGCGCCGATGGTCAGGCACATGAAGCTCGGGTATCGGGTGACACTCGAGTCCTCCTCAGCGCGATTCGCTGTGGAACTGATTGATCATCATCGGCAACCAATGTGAACAGCGAGTGTCCCTATCGGAACCGATTTGTTTCGTGTCTTCCGAGGATCGACCAATCCATATCTCATTCTATACTGGCGGAGTGTTTTTTATATTCCATGTTATATTTCAAACGTTCGTGTATCGCATTGGCGGAGTGGAACGCATCCCCCGCCTAATTAGGGAGCCCGAGGGTCGTATACCGGCACGCGCAGGACGCGGAGCGATTCTCGACCACGATCCAGATCGATAGACGGATTCTTCTTTGAGGCATGTTTTCCCGATGAACATATTACGATTCCTCGCCATCCGCTCTTCTTCGGCATTCGAGGCATGGATTCGATCGGAGTAGGCAGGCGAATCTCATCCATCTCAAGTGACTGCGGCCCAGCCGCGCGAGACCCAAAAATATGCCTGTAGGGTCGACTGAATAAAACTTCCCGATGAAAAAGCACTTCGCTCTGAGAGCATAAGATGAAACGGAGTCTCTTGTTGCATAGGTGAAGAAGTCGCTTCCTGATAGTCCTCGAAAGACATGCGATTCGAGGGAAGACGCTCTAAGCTCCGTCTATATGATCGTATCCTCCTGTTATCCGATTTATGGAGAACTCACACATCTCACTTGAATCATTCCTCGCTCAAAAACGTCCCTTGAAGCTCGTCGAACTCTCCTCTTAGTTCCCTTCCCTCATCGACGAACTCGAGATCTTTCTCCCGGGCCCTCATCGAAGCGATTCCCCCGCGCTGTATTCTTCTGTTGACATAATGAATTTTCCTCCTGAGAACTTAGAAGTATGGGATTACACTTCCGAATAAATCGCCAGGTTCGTCTACTAGTTCTTTCATTCGTCTGGCGGTGGTTGCGCGGCGAACTCTTCTCCGCCGGATTGCGTAAGGGTGGGATAATCTGCAAAGGTCACGCGCTGTCCAGGGCGGGGGCGCCATGGTCCGAAAAAGATACGAGGATGATTTTGGTTTTCAGCTTATTCGCTGATCCCATATGGAGCGCCCTTGGCCACTGGACAGTGCCGCTACTCGAACTCGGAACGATCGAGAATTTCGATTCCTTTCAAGATTCCCTCCGTCGGGTGTCCCTCGCTGTCATACGATGGCGATTCCTTATCAATTGTGATATCGCTCATCCGTTGGCTTGGAGACGCGAGGAAAGAAATCGAAAATGAATAAAATGCTCACGATCTTTTTATTGGGTTCTTCGGTGGTTTTCGCCGATATTGATCTTTTTTTGTCAATCGTCAAAATATTCTAGAACACTAGCGAGGCGTACTTAAGTATTTGTTCGTCATTTACTCATTCTCCGTTTCTTTGCTGGATGGATGGATGTATATTATATTTTTCCACAGATTATGTGAGCAGGAACGAAACGACTCATCGAATGCATGACGACTCACACCGACTCGTGTACATTTCCAACGGAATCCGTCGCTACCAAAATTATACAATATATATCCCAAAGCTGACCTTGTATTTAGGTTTTTGTAGCTGTTCTCCAGGTCTTCTCCATCTTGGCCACCACCCATCAGCCATTCATGAAAACGATGACGTAAAATTTGTATTCCGCTCATCTCGAACATGTTCTCTCCCTCAGTCAAGGTCTTGGTGGTTGATTGATTGGTTCCTTCAATCCCCATTTCGTCCCCTTACTTCCGATGGGACGAACGCTAGTTCTTTCCTCGCCCGACCATGATTTGATCTATATCGACTGACAATCGATAGATTTTCCCCCTTGACCCCCCCTCCAACATGTCGATACTTCCGGGACCAGATGCCGGGTCGTTCCAGACGCGCAGGCTCAGGCCGCGCCAGAACTTTTCCTAATACTCACCCATAAAAGTTGGCCAGCGAATCAAGCGCTTGGTGTCTTGGAGCTTAGTTTCGACTTGGCCTCTCTGTTTCAAAAAATATATGCGTTCTTTGTTCCTGCCGATATGTAACAGGACTCGAATTCCGCTGCTAGACAGCTCCTCGAAATAACTTCGCGGTGACGAACTGCACTCCTCCGAGTCGTCAATCTGATCGCGTCGGAAGAGCTCTCGGGTAAAGGCCGCTCCTCCAAAGTGATCCATAAAGGGGAGCCGGCCTATTGGCCACAGCGTACTCCGCTAAGCCGAGCATCTATGAAAGCACCCGTTTACTATTCTTCACAAAATCTCACCTCCCCGCCAAAGTACACCAAATTCCGTCCTGGCTCGAGTAAAACCCGTTTGATTCGTTCCTTATAGTCAATCACTCGATCTTCTAACAAACGCTAGGTGCAGAACTCCGCAGTCCCTGAGAAATGCAGCACTCTCAAACGTGGATCAGGACAAAAAAGAGTTTTTCCAAAAGCAATGGGGCGGAATCCACATGGTACACGACAGTCGTTCGAAGTACGCGAACACCATCTCCTCGATGCTTCGCTCGATATCGGTCGAACTCGAATTTTCCCGCGGAACACGGGAGAATTTCATGTCTCGCCGATTTTCCCTCTCGAATCGATGATGATCGAATCGCTTCTGAAGCGACCGGCCGTTCGCAACTGTTGGTAGATTCCCTCAAGATCGCACGATTCCGCGAGCCCTTCGAAGACTTTCACAGCGCCTTCTCTCTCCCTCCGAGTCGTACACTCGAAGAGAAAACCAGGTTGGAACTCAGGAACGAATCCGAAAAAGTGTTCAGGGAGCTCGGTGGATACTACTTGACAAGCCGCCAAGCTCGAAAATGGGAAATCCTGATTCATGTATCAATCTCGCCCCGAGGTGCTTCGATTGTCGACAATGGGGAACGGGCTCACAGAAACGGGTTTACTGAGCCAGGCGTCGGAGTGGTACGTGAGGAACCCGGAGCGAAGCCTCCGTCGAATCCGGCGGTGTTACTACCACGGAGTTCGTTCATCGTTGGAGGCTTGTTCAGCGCCTGGAACGGGTTCTGCAGGGGGGAGTCATCGCCGAACTGAGGATACTTGCACCGGGGGGCATCGCGCTCGCTGGAGCCACTGAGTTAGGAATGGATACCGCTGAGGAAGCTGCTCCCGGAGCTACGTTTCCACCGAACGGATTGATCGAACCGGAGGCCGGTTTCGCGGTGACGAGTGCGTCCAAATTTACAAGGTTGCTGTTAGCCCCTAGGAACGATTCGGGCGTTTTCCGCATTTTGCTGTTCGCCTCGTTAATTCCATTGTCGTGAGTGGTCTTCGGAAGAGCACCGCCCAAACCAGACATATCGAACGGTGCAGGAGAGTTGCTCGCACTCTTGCTCAACTTTTCTCCACCCATCGCCGCTGGTGACATGTTATTCAACCTCTGCCGAGATATTAGATCAAACTCATCTAGTTCCCCTTTCGATACGCCTCCGGCCAATCCGTTCAGTGCCCATGGATCCGGTGCTGCCGATGGAAGTGAGGTAGCCGGTTGTGGGGCCCAGGGATCCGCCTGGACAGAGGGTGCGGGAGCCCAAGGATCGAGGCCCCCGACGGCTCCAACGAGAGGAGCTGGCACCGCATCCACGCTCACGCTTGGAAAAGCTGCTGCTGCTGCCGCCGCTCCCGGGGTGGGTTGCGACGAGGGCAGACCCCAAGGGTCCGCGCCAGTTGCTCCAGCAACCGCTGATCCAGCACCGCCGAGGTTCAGGCCCAAAAGATCATCCATGCAGCTTTTCGAAGAAGCTCCGTTCGAAACGGCTGCACTCGAAGATGATCGCGGCTTAACCGCTTCCTGTTGGCTCTCGGTCAGTGCCATTTGAAGTCTGTGGAACGAAATACGCAACGTTATTCGGATACCGAGCCGTGCAGCGCGTTCCCCAGCCTCGGCCCGATCCAATGCCCCACGACTGGGAACCTTGAAATAATTTGAGACTGCCTACCGCAGATCGTCGTTTTTGCGTTGTCGCTCCTCCTGTTCGGCCTCCTCTTTACTCATGGCAAGTGCGAGTTGCAGCTGTAGTTCTTCCTCGCCAGCCGTCTGAGGTCTGGCGGACTCCAGTTCAGAGTTGCTACCCAGAACCGCACGGTAGTCTCTCGGTGAGGCGAGTTCTTCACCACCTGAATAAGCACGTCGGGAAGTACCACCTGGAGAACGATGACCGCGCGTACAGCTTCATCCGCGCAATATACGGGGATCTCCGCTCAGATTCAACGAATTGAACTCTGCCTTACCTGATTCAGCCGTCGTTACATTCGTGTTTTGGGCGAATCTCTCCTTCGCTTTCAACGCTCTCATTCGCTCCTGTCTTAGGCGCTCATCGTCTTTCAGCAGCGCAACGAGCTGTTTACTCTTCTCGCGGACATTCATTCCTTGATCCTTGTTGTCTTCAACATATTGGAAATCTGAAAAACATTGACGGTGTCCGGTTTGAGAGCCCGAAGAACCGATGCCGGACATGGACCTCCGTGGGGCGGAGGTACCTTTTCCGATCAGGTACCACAAACTCCGCCGGACGAAACGTTTCTACATATGTAGCGTTCTATAATTAATTACAGTAGGGCCCCGAAAGTCGGGTGTCCCTTCCGGCTAGTGGTCTTCTCGGACTTCGCATTCATTTATGGAAATCTCGCTGGGAGCCCCATCACTGGTATTCCCCCCTTCGAGCGGTGAAGACTGTGGAGCTCAGTGACCAAGCGGACTAGTACCTTTTAGTGTCTGGATGTTGAAAATATTTTCTTTGCACTGGCTAGCTACTCGTTCACTTCCGACTTTGATTAAATATTCCAGGAGAACCAGCGCTTTGTAGACATGCCTCCAGTTCTTGCCGTTGTCATTCAATCTGGAACCGAATACCGAAATCAGAGGAAATAACAGACTACTGTCGGCGCGGGGGAATTCGACGAGGTTCTTGATCGACTCGAGCTTCGACCCGGCACTCGGGTCGCCGAAGTACCTTTTCCAAACGATTTGCATGATTTCCGTGAAAGCTACCACATTGTAGGTTAGGTCGGCTATCTCGCCCATGAGGGTCGACGGAGCTCCCCATGGATCATTCGAAGTAGCTTCTCGAACTTTGACCTGTAGCAGGAAATCACTTTTTGAATCAATAGGATCGGTTCACGAATGAAGCGAGATAAGGGTATGAATACATGATTCGAAGCACTAGGGAAGTTTTTCACTCACCTGGGCGTCGGTGTAGTTCCGAACTACGTTCTTTACGTTTCGTCGGAGACCTTGAACGTTGACATTCATCATGGCCCGGGGACAGGCTCTTAATTTTTAAAATAAGAAATCAACAGAAACGCGACGACTCGATATCACAGTTGACCACCCTAGCCCGCGACTCCCACCCGCTCGTTGGGCAAGGCAGACACCAGTTTGCGGATCGTTTTAGTCTACTCGTATGCTTCAGAAGTACTTCGCGAGAACTTCGCCTCCGTAGTCGCTCTGTGGAAAATATGAAAAAGCGTTTTTTAGAAATGGGGTTCTCATTATAATAAACGAACATAGATGAGAATCCCTGATTGACAGACTGCACTAATTCTGTCGCGAGTCCTCCAGTTCGAACCGTGAGCGGAACACGTGTCATCGACTAGTCTAGGATGCTTGCGGTTGTCGGCTCGCGATTCGAGGCTCACGAGCTTGCGGCCGACTGGGGAGCCGCGGCGTCAATCGACATGAGAGCCGCCAAGAAACCGGATCAGGAGTTTCTCGGGCTGTGATATCATAGAGAAACTATTCGATTCCTGACAGTCCATCTCCTGCTTCTTCCCGAGTTCCCGAACAGCCTCTTTCGCAAAGACGACGAAGAGTGATGATTATTTTAACAAAATACGAGCACTCCAACATAGGAACACTTCCCGGCCCCGGATCGCGCTCATATGAAGCTCATGATCACGCAGATAAGAATAACGTGGGAAAGAGGACGAAGAGTCGCACTTATGGAAGCTCTTCCGAGAGATGTCTCGCTGGTTTAGGAGCCGTCTTTTCACCTTGTGGAACAGACGTCCGTCGTTGATGACAGCAGCGGCGGCTGCGGCGACGGCAGTGGCCGCGAAACGTCGATAGCCTATGCTATGACCGCCGTTGTTTGTGATCCCAATCGCGACCACGGAAGCTGATGTCTTCACAACTCAATGAGATGTAGAGAGTCAGTCACTCAATACGTCCTTATCCATCCAAACATGAAGCACTGTCTGGACGGTCCTGACCATGACGCTTCGTTGGTTCCCAGCAATCTGGACCAATTTGGCAGTTGAATGAAACTTTCCCTGCAGCATTGCGGACGACGAAGGAGAATAATCAGCGAGCGTTCATCCGAATTCCGAGAGCTAACCGGCTCCCGGTTCAGACAGTAATTCTAGATCGAGAGGAGCTCAGATAGAGCCTGAATCTCGAACGGAGAACTCGTACCGCAAGGGATTGATCTGGCCGTTCATGAGACCCTTCCTCAGAGCCGGCAGATCGCAACGTTGACAGCTCTCGGTTGCTTCCCTCGATTAGGAGCCCCGCAGACTGACGCCGCTGTGGGAAACAGGAATGAGCGAATCATCTGTCTGGAACGTCGAACAGTTCCAGTGAAGGTGGCCCGACAGCCATGATTATTAGCACGCCTCAGACGATTCTGTAGAGCGTAGTGGACAACTGCGGGAGACTGCTCTTGGAGCAGGACTGACTGAGAGAATACCGTATCTATCCTGACGATTCGAGAATGAAGCGGCACATCTGTCGCGATTTATTAAATTGAGTGGCGTGAAGGCGACCAGTGCCAAGAGAACATATTCGAGAGCAGACACAATTCGCGGAGCTGTCAAGAAGCCGAAGCCGTTGCCGAATCGAATTTATAGGCTCGCTCAAGTTCCGGTCGATAGTCCGGTAAACGGGTGGGAGGACCGGTAAGGTCACTAGTAGATCTTACGAGCTTGGCATGCGGAATTATTAGAAACTGTGACGCACAGGCTTCCGAATGCCCGACTGGCAGCAGCAGCTCCGTCGGCCACCGATGGAGGGCGGTGGTTTTCAACAGACGTGACGTTGCTCTCTCATGATGGTAGAGCTTTTCCTCTCACAGTTCATGATGAATTCTCTCTGAAGATTTGGATACGCTCCCGCTCACGGACGTCGATAGTCGGTAACCAATAATTCGATCGGTCGGTCAGGCATTTCTCCCTGTTCACACACATAAACGTCATCACATGCGGCTATTTAGAGATTTACTCGCCTCTCGTGAGAATCCGGATTTTCAGTCAGATACGGGGCTCGAGTATCACCCCGATCACGTATTAGAGTCGGAGATGCACCTCTCAGTAGAGCATTTGGAATCTGAGAAAGGATTTTCTCTACGAAGCGGCTCACTCACTCTCCTCCTGCGAAACTTCTTTGCGTCGCCATGGCGCTCATCATTCCATGATCCTGCCTCGTCGGTGAGCTCACGGAGTGTGGCGCACGCAAGGAATCGGCGCCAGAATTCAAAAACGATCGGCTCCAACGACGAGTAAGCCGCAGACGGTCGTCGGCGTCGGACTTCCCCCGGGTCTCATGACCGCGAAACAGATTGGGGCGATTCCCGAGAGAAGAACTCAATCAAGAGCCCCGCTATTCGGAAATGGGTCTGCGAATTCGCATTCACCCATCGGCTGTTCATAACTATGCGCTCAGCTTCTCTCATCGACCACGCAATCTTGCCAACTGGACCAATCTCAAAAATAGGTTTCCGCCGCTTTTTCAAGGATCACCGCCTGATCAACCTCGGTCTATGAATCCACATTCAGGCTGAACGATGAACCGACTCAATGGCGGCTCAACATCGAATTCGGACCTCCGCCATTGGGAATCGATGAAGGTGTCCCGTCTATGGAATTTCGGATGCCAAGCGGAAATCGGACGTCTCTGATGATATCTATATTCAGGGTATTGAGCAATTTTGCTCGCATTCAAGGAATCGTTGCCGCCCCAGCAGGTAATGGATCACCCCGGGCCCAGTCGAATCGATTGAGAAGAGAGCTGAGCTCCACCACAATTCACCGACTACGGCTCGGTCGACCGAGAATTCCGTACGAGTCATATGTACAATATTCTTCTCCGGAAGCTCCTTGTGCTTGAAGAGAATCTTTATTTCTTCTCGGCGAGACTCGAGGGGGCCAAGGGACGTCCCTCCCGCGCGTGAGAGATTGCCCTATCTACTCCTGTGCCGAATTCAAATCGATCGCTATCGCGCCCGATAGCGAAGATTTCATAGGGGAGCGATGGAGAAGTTCTCCGCAGAGAGGAAGCGAGATGCTGCTGGAATAGAGGTCCTCCAGAGCATCCGTTTGATTCGTTTCTCGATCTGTCTTTGTCAAGGATCCAGCATGTGAGGCTGAGGCGCTGCGCGCGGAGGCTCGGTTATGTATTCCTCCCACAATCGAATGCTGGTCGAGAAGAAACGACTCCCGTCCCGGAGACGGTAGGAAGGACGTAGACAAGCTTCCTGAGCGAAAAGCGAATGATCGTCGCTGCAGTAACGCCAAGAGTCCCCTCCAGAGATTTGAAAGAATGCTCAACGCGATCAATCGCTCTGGGCAGGGGCAGCCGGGAAAGTTCACAGCGCAGGAACAACCGAAATGCATGCGAGCCTGTTTCAGTTACCGATAACGCGCATGTTTACCACATGCTCGGGACAGAACTCCACAGGGAACGTAAATCGCGCAGTGACAAAAAAATCACGGCGAATTCGAGTACAGGTGTCCTCTCTACCCATCGCTCACTGACGATAGACGTTTGCGGCGGAATTCAATTTTCGCGATGGAAAGACATAGAAAGAATCAAACATAGGACAAGATCCCTGGGGCGAGATCGCGTTGCAAACTCTAACCTCGAGTCATTCTCACTCCCGCTGATGACCTCCATATTCATAGGCCCGTATATCACTCCGGTCAGCGCGTCCGACAGCAGCGGGTGCTCGGCTCTACTTCCTCGCGACAATCCCTCGATCCTGTCATGCTGTCGATCCGCTGTCAGTCTTCATCGACAGGTTCGTCGAAGCAGGTTCGGACGCAGTTACGTGAAACTTCCGCGCACTATCTGCGGTAAGGGGAAATCCCCCCGATTTCTCCGTGAAAGGCTTCGCTCCAGGGACTGGTGTCGCACTTCGGGAGAGTTTCTTCGTCACTGATGCATCTCCCGTGTTTAGCCGCAACGACGCCGCTCGCGCGGGAGGCGGTGTGGGTTCGATCCCTGCTGCCGGAAAAATATTCCTTACGGAAACGCAGGTACTCGGCCTTGATCCTCCTGGGTACATTTAATCTATGGATCCGTTCTCGGAAGCAATGTGAATAACAGTACCCGGGACGTTAAACCTTGGCTGTGTGGATCAGCCCGCAAAAGTTTTTGATGCATCTCCCAAATCGAACAATAACCCTTGTCGAATCGTAACTGAGCTCAGTGGAAGATTCATCCGTCAAGGTGCCCGATACCATACTCAATCTTTCCGATCCCCACGACGAAATAATCGTCCATGAACCCGGAAATCTCCGACTCGAGGGGGGCCGAGAAGTCGATCTCCATCCACCGATCACGTCCTAACGAAGGGAACGCCGCCATTGAATGAGACCTCATTACATCTGCTCAGAGTTCGCGCCTACTAGTAGAACGTAACGATTTCGAGCATTTCCTGGCTGTCTTCCCTTCGGCCAATGATTGAAAATGAAACTCTTCCGGGCTCCTTGGTCGCTCCCGTGAACGATGCCCGGAGTCCCGCGAATTCGCGGTTCCTCAGCAATCGCAGCCTTGATAGTTCCCTCAAGCCGGAGAACCCCGTCGCTTAGATTTAGAGGCTCCCCACTTTGACGATTGGTCGTCGTAGGGGCACAATCTTACTAGTCGACGAGAGGCATTCGGGCCACGGACGGGTTCTTGCTGCATCGGATGTCCTAGGGAGTGCTCGCTCTTCACAGAAGTCCCTCTATCTTCAAGCTGTCATCGAACGGTACCTACTCATTCGACCGGCCCGCGGATAGCATCGGCGCCACCTAGCGACTTTCGTCTGATTCACGGCTCGCACACCACAAGGTGGAAGGCGCCGCGGCTATATTCGAAGTTCGGCCCCGTCGTTCCGGTTTCTGCTATTGCATCTTCAGCACGGCAGTCCTGGAAATTACACTGCGGCGATTCTGCAACAGAGACCTGACTTCCTCGCCACTCGTGTTCCACGTTGTGTCAACGCCAGCCGGTAGGCTCGAACAGTACTTTTTTTCTGAAGCTCCCTTCGAAATGGAAGCACCGCAAGAGAAAAGCGAGAAACAGTTGAGGGCAGAGGCGAAGAAAGCCGAAAAACTGGCGAAATTCGAAGAGAAGAAGAAAAAGACCGAAGAGATCCAACGGCAGAAGAAAGAGACCGGTGATACCAAACCCAAAAAAGAAAAGTAAGCATCGAACTTTTATTGATCAAGACAGCCGGGACTCGTTTCAGCGCGGATGACCACCGAAGCTTCTCGGTAGCATTTGACTCAATATTCTTTGCGAGCAATATGAGCTCGCAGGCCTCATCTTACCGGAGTTCGAACTCGTCCGGGGGACAGGCTGCTCTTTTAGTCAGATGAGAGATGAAAACTTCCTAACTCCAGGAACGAGATGCGAGTCTGCTGAGTGTGATTGTCATGAAACTAATGCGGCAGCCGCTCTGTGGTCGACGACAAGTCGATACGGCTCGGTGTAGCTCACCCTGAGCCGAAATACCAGAGGGGGGAAATCGATCGCAGAAAAGTCGACAATCGAAATGCTATAAACCTGTTTGACAGCAGAGTATTGACACAATACCCTCGAATGGAAATATATTTTTCCCAAGCGGCATCTGATGCTTGATTGAGGAAACTTTGCTCCATTTTTGATTGTTGAAGCCTAAGTAATTGAAACTTCTTTTTCAAGGACGAAATCGGAGCCCAAGGGTCCAGTGCTTTATGAGAAGAACACCCCGGCGGGAGAGAAGAAGGATGTCTTGGGACAGATGCCTGACGCTTACAGTCCTCGCTACGTTGAGGCGCAATGGTATTCATGGTGGGAGAAGGAAGGCTTTTTCAAGCCGGAATACGGCAGAGATCCTTACGCCGAGAACCCGAAGGGTCGTTTCGTGATGGTCATCCCACCCCCGAACGTGACTGGCTCTCTCCACATCGGGCACGCCTTAACATCTGCTGTGGAAGACGCTCTGACCAGATGGCACCGCATGAATGGGAAGACTGTCCTCTGGAACCCGGGTGCGGACCATGCTGGCATCGCGACCCAAGTGGTCGTGGAGAAGAAAATCGCCCGAGAGCTAGGGAAGACCCGCCACGACTTGGGACGGGAAAAATTCATACAGATCGTTCAGCAGTGGAAAGATGAGAAGCTCGAGAGGATTTACCACCAACTCAGAGCACTCGGATGCTCCGTGGATTTCAGCAGAGCCGTTTTCACAATGGAGCCGAAAATGTCTCGAGCAGTTACCGAAGCGTTTTGTCGTCTCCACGAAGAGAATCTGATCTACCGTGCGCTCAGATTAGTCAATTGGTCGTGTGCTTTAAACTCTGCGATCTCCGACGTGGAAGTTGATAAGGTCGAGCTCAGCGGACGAACCCTGCTCAACGTACCAGGATACGAGAAGAAAGTAGAGTTTGGTGTACTCGTCTCGTTCGCTTACAAAGTCGAAAACTCCGATGAGGAGATCGTCGTGGCCACCACGAGAATCGAAACCATGCTCGGAGACACTGCGGTCGCCGTGCATTTTGACGACTCGAGGTACAAACACCTACACGGTAAATTCGTCGTCCATCCATTCGTCGAGCGGAAAATCCCCATCATTTGTGATAGTTTCGTCGACATGGAGTTCGGAACCGGAGGGGTGAAAATAACCCCCGCCCACGATCATAACGATTACGAAGTCGGCAAAAGACACGACCTGCCCTTCATCAACATCTTCAAGGGCGATGGAACGGTCGGTGAGGGATGCGGTCGCTTCTCCGGCATGAAACGCTTCGACGCCCGCAGGGAAGTCCTCGCTGATCTCAAATCGCTGAATTTGTATCGAGACACCAAGGAGAATCCGATGGTCGTTCCAATCTGCTCTCGCTCGAAGGACATCGTTGAGCCCATTCTGAAACCTCAGTGGTACGTGAGTTGCAAGGAAATGGCTGCGGAAGCTGTCCGAGCCGTGAGAGAGGAACGTCTCAGATTCGTACCTGATCAACACGTGAAAACGTGGAATTGGTTCCTTGAAAACATTCAGGATTGGTGCATATCGAGACAGCTCTGGTGGGGTCATCGTATTCCTGCCTACTACGTCACCCTCAAAGGAAAATCGAATCCGGAAGGTACGTAAGGTCAGCTTCAAGAGAACTAAGTTGCGAAGTGTTGTTGGCTGAAGGAATGATACCGGAGAAATAATATTCGGGTCCCAACAGGGTCGCACAATTCGAACAAGTATTGGGTGAGCGGACGCACCCAGGAAGAAGCCCAGAAGAAAGCCGCAGAGAACTTCGGCGTGGAACCGGACGAAGTAGTCCTGCAACAGGATGAAGATGTGCTCGACACGTGGTTCTCGTCTGGACTGTTCCCTTTCTCGATTTTCGGATGGCCGGAGAATACAGGTATAGTAATCACGTTTATGATCGATGTCATCGGCTCCCTCATCTATCATGCTGCGCCTGATGTGAAGGACCTCAGTGTCGGTTTCGTTACGATAATTCGAAGCAGATGGGGATTTGGAATTATCGATTTTTTCAGCCGAGTTGAAAGCCTTCTATCCTGGGCAGCTCTTGGAGACGGGCCACGACATCATTTTCTTCTGGGTAGCTCGAATGGTGATGCTGGGCACCAAGCTTTTGGGCAAACTGCCATTCAACGAAGTTCTGATGCATTCGATCATCAGAGACGCTCACGGTCGCAAGATGAGCAAGTCTCTCGGAAACGTCATCGATCCGATTGATGTTATCCGCGGAATCACGTTAGAGGAATTGAACAAGACATTGGAAAGCTCGAATTTGGACGCGGCCGAGATAAAGAAAGCTCAGGAGGGCCAACGGAAAGACTACCCTCAGGGCATTCCCGAATGCGGAACGGACGCCCTGCGTTTCGCCTTGTGTTCGTACATGAGTCACGGCAGAGATATCAACCTCGACATAAATCGCGTCGAGGGCTATCGTTTCTTCTGCAACAAATTGTGGAACGCTGTCAAATTCGGCTCCATGTACCTCGGAGCTGACTTCAAGCCCTCCGATGCGAAAGTGTCACGGTCTCCGATCGACAAGTGGATTTTGTCGAGACTGACTCTAGCCTGCGCAAATGCTCAGAAAGGATTTTCCGAATATGACTTCCCAGCGATAACAACAGCTTGCTACAGTTTTTGGCTTTACGATCTCTGTGATCTTTACTTGGAAAGCCTCAAACCCGTCTTCCAGTCGGGTTCGATCGAGGCGAAAACAGCAGCGGCTCAAACTCTATATTGCTGTCTGGAGACCGGTTTGCGGCTTCTGCATCCCTTCATGCCTTTCATCACCGAAGAACTTTGGCAACGCTTACCGCGAAGGGCGGGCGACCCTCCTTCGATCTGCGTGGCCGCCTATCCCCTCGAGGAAACTATTCCGGAAGGGAGGAACGAGGCCTTAGAAAAAGATGTGTCGTGTGTGCTCAGCGTTATCCACAAGGTTCGATCGATGAGATCGGACTATAATTTGACGAGGGCGCAGAAGGTCGATCTTTTCGTGAAGTGTCCCGAGGATCAACAGAATGTGATCAAAGAACACGCTATCACCATCATAACATTGACGGCATCGAACTCTTGCCAAGTGAGCCAAAATCCACCGCCAGGATGCGCCATCAACACTGTGGGATCGTTCGAGACGCATCTTCTCCTGAAGGGTGAGTACCTATCGAATACTTTCCCAAGATGCTCATGCAGAGCTTCCACCGAAATGCTCCCCACCACGGCTTGTCTTTCAGACAAGATTCCTGACTAAGCTCGAGGGATAATTCCCTTCCAGGTGTTGTGGATGTCGAGAAAGAGAAAGAACGTCTGTCGAAGAAGCAAGCTCTTTTGAAGACATCGTTGGAGAGATTGGGGAGCAGCATGGCTCTGCCTGGTTATGCTGAGAAGGTTCCGCAAGATGTTCAGGAAGCGAACCTCGCGAAACAGAAAGACCTGACCGCAGAGCTCGAGCGGATAGCTGAATCCATCAAGTGTCTCACGCTCATGGACTAACGCATGAAGCTCCGATTCGATAGCCTTTAATAAATTCACCTAATTTATAAAATGCTCCGACCCGACACACCGAATCTTCATCTCCACCGTCCAGTGCCCGAGCGAAAGGATTACATAAATCGGTAGATGACAGTTTGCTAGATTCATGAATGTTCTTTATTCATGAACATGCATCTTCACGTATATACAAGAGCACATACGCTCAACGAGATCCCGCCAAGAGCGTCTGCCAACTGGAAGAATCTCTCAGGCGTATTTTCAAATCGACAGCCATAAGTTCAAAGTCCCGTCATGAGCTCTAATCGCACTGGTTCACGGAGCGCGTCCATTTCACGTGCTCCAATAGAATGTCCATTTTGAACGCTCTGAAATCGAATGTTTCGACTTGATGTCCAATTTGAACAGGGCGGATTCCGTTCGATCAAGCCAAAGAAAATTGTTATCCTTACGTGGCGATTGTTGCGAACGTGTCCAAGAGCTCTTTAGTGTTTTGAACTTCTGTCATATTCTTGAAATAACCGGCACATTCACAGTAGCGGCTCATATTCTTCTCTTTGACCTGGAATCGAAGAGCAAACCCTCAATGATAGAAAACTCGCTGTTTTATATAGCTAAAAAAAATCAACTGCCCCAACGGCAATTCCCAAAGGGGAAGAGCAACTACCATATTGCACTTCGTGCATTGTAGATCTTGAAGAACTTCCCGAGCGCTGATAACTTGCAGCGAGTCAACCATCAGACTCTCGATGTAGGCCATTTCGTACAATGACTCGCATTGAGGACAGAACCACTGTCCGTTTGCCGTATACGTGTCTCGACAGACGTCTAGATCTCTCACGCAATTACACTGTGTGCATATGACCTGCAATAGAACGATTCCTCATGATAAGTGAATCATTTCAAGTGATCACCGAATAGGGGAGATCGATGATACCATTGGATGGTATTTTCTAGATTCTGAAGACCTCTCCTTTGATACCTGTGATAGCACGAAGGAGAGACACGGGTCGTGCCAAATGGCGCTCTCCGAGAAGGCGCCCACCCCGCCGCAAAGTTTCAGCAGATCACGTTTCAGTTTGCTGTTAACGAACTGGGCTATGTTTTGGTCGACGGAGAGTACCCTTGTTATCATCTTGACGAACTCCAAGGATGGCGAATATACCCGTGCAACAGTGTGTTTCATGAGAGCATTCTTCGGAAATTCGCCCGTCGGATACTTTTCGTGCAGCTTGTGGGTCAACCTGGAACCGGACGGGAGAACCATGTCATTCTGATCAACTCATCGCTCATCACCATGATCTCGTTCGAGAAGTCGAGATAGAGCTTTCAAGGAGTACAAAGGAGAACCGATAGTATTATCAAGTCTTCGGAAAAGGTGTCGGCAGAGATTTCGACGAGAATCGACGAGAGCTAGCCGAATGAGGATATTGAAGTCATGAGCTACCCCTTACGTCATCAAACTCTGCGAGAATTCCTCCCTGATTAGAGTTTGTATGTACTCTACGGAATTTTGCTCAGGTGGAGTTTGTTCTAGATGCTGGAATAGGGCGTTTATGTATCCGCCGACGGTCATGTTGAAGCTCTCTGTCAACGAAGGCGTAGACAGAAATTTGCTCATGTTCCAGAGCATCCGGACCTCGTCCTCCGAATCGTCCGCGGTCCTCTGGACACCTCCATGGTTCGACTGGAAACCAGAGACGAAATCGACCCGCTATTGTTGAGCCTGGGAGTTCTCATCGCTCAAGTGTGATATTCATTCATTGCTACGAAGACATTGTATACGCACGGGATCCATCCATAAGAGGATTTTATAGGCCTGTTTGACGCTAAAGTCAACACTATGGAAGAGCTCTTTGTTGCGCATGGAGTTCACCACGAACTCGACGTAGGCGGAAGCGTCCTCGATAGTTTTTCTCTTCGTGCACAGAATGATCTTCGACAGGCTCGCGTGGACGATGTGCGAGCCGAGACGTTGGAACTCGGCCACTAGTTGATTGAACATCTTGGAAATTAGATTATCGAGTATCCGTTTGAGAGACGGTTCGAACAGCAACGAGTGTGGATCTTTGAGCCAGCGGAAGAGATGCGATAGTTGCTGGTCGGCGAATATATTTTGGTATACGGCTACATCTTTCATGAAGGCCGACACCATCTGTCGCAATATTCTGAAAGCACCCGCGCACTGTGACGATTCATCGTAGCCGGATACATTGGAGCCCATCTGATCTCCGCCTGAAAAATTTCGGAGTGCGTCGTATCGTGACGAGTTTTTCGATGGAAGATTTTTGGATTTTACGGAGAAGAAATGGGGAAGGGGGGCATCTCGGCTAACCAGGACAAAAATCGCTCACCTGAGACCATGTCTTGCACCGTCTGGGCTTGAACGGCATCGAACGCGATGTTGCTGGAGATACCCTCGAGCTCTGCCAGAGTATGCGCTTGGAGTATGGTGGTTACGAAAATGCCTTGAAGGTCGAGTTCGACGCATGTCGTTGTGTACATTCCTTCGTTGTTGACTTGGAGACATAGATCGTGTTCGATGCTGCGATTATCGTCGGCTTCCTTGCCCCCGAGGTCGGGTCGATCCGACCTCGAGCACCACAAGAGGAAGTTCTGTTTCAATAGATTGCGAGCGTAGAACACGTCGCAACCGAATCTTGTCGCGTCCGCGGGCAGGTTCCCGAGCGGCACGTGAAGGTACCGACACTGTTCGAGTTGTGTCTGTGAGCAGGAAAACGGTCTCATATTAGCGATCTCATCCGCTGTTTTTGTGTGAGAATATCTTCGCGGAACACCGAATGCCGCCAAACTCACTGTCAGAATCGTCTGGACGTTGAGGAAGTGTCTTATCGCTGCCTTGGATCCGACGCGTTGCCATTGTAAATGATCGAGCATCTTCGAATCTTGAACGTGGAGACGGACTATGGGGAACTCGCAGGTTTGAGGCATCAAAACAGTTAAATCTTCGTTTGAAATTCTGCTCTGAACGACGAGAATCGTTGGTCCGCGTTTTTCGCCGAGGAATTGCTGCAGGTGCTTCTGGATCAACTTGTGTACTGAACGGACGTCGGATGTGGCCGAGGACTCGAATACGTAACCCGGGTCCGGAACGAGACTCTCCATTGCGCCTCGAGCGATTCTGCGGATAGAATACTCGATTCAGGGGAAACGCTCTCTGTCCGAATTTCGATTTCCCAATTCTTCTCTCCATGAAATCGCTCGCGAATTCCGCAGCTCACTTGGCTTCTCGCTCCTGGTTGTACACCACGTTGAGATTAGGTAGCTGATCGGTGACGACGGAGTCCACCACACTCAGCCAGGCTTTCTTGACAGATGGGATGAAGAGCGCATACACCTGCTTGTGACCCTCTCGGTTTTGGTAGAGGAAGATATACTTGACATGGTTTCCTTCGAGGTAATCCGTTTCTGCGAGAGTACACATTTCCAGGTGGCGCAAGTCGAAGAAGTCGCTGCTTTCAGCTGCATATTGTCTGCAAAATTAGACAGAATGCACTCTAAATCTGCTCGCTCGCCTTAGATCAGATGAATTTGAGCGGGTCCCCCCAGGACTAACCTGTAAAATCGCTTGTCGAGCTTCGTCAAGCAACCGAGACTGACGATGAGTCGGAAGTCCAGAGGCACTTGAGTTTCGTAGATGCCTTCGATATAAGGATTACCGAGCTCGGCGGCAATGTCATCATTGTTGTTGATGTAGACGGACTCGTCAATGGCGTATTCATACAAATGATGAACGGGATGCGCTCGGGGTAAATGACGCATAACTTTACGATAAATCGTAGTTTCCTCCGTGTCTTTCGGTACCCGCTGATTGACATAGAATATACGGGGTACTCCGACGCGGACTTGGCGTAACTCGGAATTCCCTATCAGGACCCACACCTTGAAGACGCCGTCTTCGCCCGCGGGCACTATCTGAACGATCTGCCAGGTCGAGTTCAGGAGATTCTGCTGAGCTTTCTTCAAGAACCCTCCGAGCGTGTTTGACTTGAGGCCGGAGCAAGTCTTCGCTCTTTTCAGAGGCGGTTGAGACTCAGCACCCGGCGCCGCGAGCGGGGCAGAATTCGATTTGTTCCGTTTCGCCAGTTTCTTGAGTCTATCTCTCTGTAGTTTCTGATGGGTCCACTTATTCTTGTGGAAGGTCAACCACTTGTCGAAATCTTCGCTCGTTTCACCAATAGACGGCGGTGGTCCGAGAATTTCCCTCCAGTTTTTGTCGATGTTCTCCGCGTCCTCGTGTCGACTTCGTTTGTGACTGACAGCCATAACCGGCGCCATATAGCTGGGCGTAGCTGCACCGCACATATCCTCTATATCTTTTTCCTGAAAGGAGCTTTTCGATCAGCCGCAGGACGAATCGAAAGCAATGGAGCGTAGGAGCGCCTAAATGGAATCATCATGATGAAATACCTCATGTACCTTGGCAGTGAACAATTCGTTTATCCTCTTTTGCTTGAGGACGTCGTCCTTCTCGAGTAGCTTCTTGTGAAGCCATGATGGATGAGGTACCCTGGGAACGGGGTTCCTCAGCTGTTGCAACGCTGCTGGGATCGTTATGATTTTCTGGATTGCTGACCCGAGTCTCTCGATGTAGTAGGTCCAATCAAGAATTGATCGGATATCCAAGTCGTCATCGCCATAGCACTTCAGCCATTTCCGCAGGAAATGGCGACGAACGGATGGTTCAGCCTTTCGGTGATGGAGAAGAATATTAGGATAATAATACACTTTCGATGCTGCTTCGCGGAACCTCCACCCCCCATATGGAGCTGAGCTTCTGAGGGTTTTGCGGAAATCAATCTATGTAGGAACCGGGTAGAGAGCCCGACCGTCGGGAGCAGGAAATCCGTCCCGTAATTCCTAATATCTGCCTGAAGCGACGACGAAGTGCGCGATTCTCATGAAGTGATCCATGATCGCAGGCTATGGAAATGGGGACGAGAATGCCCGAGAATCGAAGGTTCTAATTTTTTCCCGATCCGAGGGGAATCTCCCAGTGAGTCTGATCGATTCTAACCGAATTCCCCAGCTCTTGAGAGCTCCCCCTCGGACGTCACGAATAATCTCGAGGTGAAATCGGAGGCGATTATACTTTTTCCAACGCGATAGCGTAGACTATGAATGGATGGACCGGATAGCTCAAGGCAGTCTCTTCCAAAACTCCGGTTCCTTTGACGTATGGAGTATCACGCGATAAGGAAGGCCCGAATGGAAATCACCCATTTCGATGCTCAAATGCGCGCCCTCGCCAGCGAAACTCGACCGCCCAGAAAGTACCACAGACTTGAATGCAATCACTGAAAGCACCACATGTTGTCGATGCGTGTGTCGTCTGAGTTTCCCGCTCTAATATCATCACAAAGATGGCACCCCGAGAGTTTATTTGAGAGCGAAAAGCTCGGAAATTAGGAGTGTCACAAGAGTGTTCTCCGGGACGATCGCCGAAATCACCAAGGTAAAGTGAGCAAAGTCGTGCGGACGTTTCTACGGAACAATTCCGCATGCTACCGGGAGAGGAAAATCCATCCCCGGCCGCCGATACTCCACCAGGGAATGTTGTGTTCGAAATTCGAATAAAGCGAGGCTGTAGAGACAAGTGATGATGCCTCAGCCGTAAAAATCGAGAACGCGCCGTAAGGTTCGGGGATGTTGTGTCAATTTTCCGGATTTGATTTCGGGATGAAATTCGGAGCGGGGAGATAATTCACGTCGAAGTCATCCGCCGTCCGTCAGTGTGGAGACCGAATCGCGAAAGAATTTTTCTCTTCGACAGCCGTGCCCGTCAACTCTGCGGCGGCTATGTCTGGTGGGACGCGCAAATGTAGCCCAGAGCCTTGCTCTTCGAGGAGCCCAGAGTCCGACCAACCGGTAGCCATCTCCAAACCTAGCCGTCGGGATGAGCGATACGCGAAGTCAGACTTCGTTGTACAATGGGACCCTCAAGAAGGGCTGATGCCGCAAATACTCAGCATCACCTCGTCACCTCGCAAAGAGATACGAAAGAAGAAAAATAATATACTCATCATCGGTGAGTGAGGGCACGGATGAAGCCGGGGAGTGGGAACGTTGTGAGATTGAAGATATATCGATTGAGAACTCCTTCTCTATCTCAGGTTCCAATCGAGAGTGCTCCTCGTGTCAAGAAGGCGGAGACCTTGTTTGCTGCAGCCGATGCAACAGCTGTTTTCATACCCTTTGTCATAATCCGCCGTTGGACGACGACAATCTGCCTCAAGCAAAATGGACCTGTTTTAATTGCCAATCAACCTCGGAGAACGCAGTTCCCACAACTTCATTTTCGGCCGCCGGCACGATAGAAGCTCCGGTCGAGGAAGAGCCACAATTGAGTCACGCCTTCGACATGCTGATCAAGGCCGTAGAGTTCGACAACTCGGAGGAGTTCCAACTCGGCAAGGAGGTTTCGTTGCCTTATGTTTTCGCTGGTTTTGGCAAACCAACGAAGAAACGCTTGCGAGAGATGAAATTAGCCAGACTCGACCAGGGATTGGTACCCACGCCCGTGCGTACCTGTTTCACCTGCGAGAAGTCGGCCCGAGTCGGACCGCTGATCCAATGTGATTATTGTCCCCTGATGTTCCACGCCGACTGCTTAGATCCCCCTCTGACCACCATTCCTCTCTCCCGCTGGATGTGCCCCAATCATCCGAATCACATGGTGGACGATAAAATGGTTTCAGACAAGCACTCGGAGCGAGTGAAACTATGGGATGAGTACTGCTGCAATTCAGTCACGGAGCAGAAAGTGATGATAGATTTTTTCCACAAAAACTCGCGGAAATATCCGCCTTTCAATCGAAAGCGAACACATGAATGTGAAATTATTCGTGTAGCCATTCCATCCCATGTGAAAGAAATGTACCGATTGGCGAGGGGACGCAGAGAGCGTGGTGATTGGCTCAACGGCTTGATAACGATGAACCCCCGCGTTTTCGACTTTGAGAACGTCACTGTGGACGATCTGGGAGAATCAACGGTGAAATTGCTCGCGGCAAGAATGCTGGATCGACTGCGGCCTCTGAAAGCCAAGCAGCAGCAGCAGAAGACCGAGATGATAACGGTGTCGCCGAGAGCGTTCCTCACACCGGGACTCGGATCGAGTGGACCACAAATCTGTATTGTAGAACCTCATCTTGTTGTGGGCAAAAGTTCGGGTGCCGATATCAACCTCGAGTATTACGGCAATTGCAAATACGCCTCTGCACATCATGCGGTGATTTTCTTCGATGAGTCGACGGACTTGTACGAGCTCATCAACTACAGTGAATACGGCACGTATGTTGACGGTGTTCTGCACAGTAACAACATAGAACACCTGATCAAGGGCGAAACGAAGACAATGACGGACAGTGTCCGCCTCTCTCTCAAAGAGAGAAAAATCGTGAGTACAGACACCTTCTGGGATGGCCAAGAACCTCATAATCACCCAATAGCCCGATCATGCCCCTGGACCTGGATTAATTTTTTTCAACCTCGTCCCTTCTCTCCTTCCAGAACAAGAAGCGCGCTCCACTGAAACGCGGACGCAAGTCGAAGGCGGAGAAGGCGGCAATGGCTGCAGCCGCCGCGGCCGAAGCCGCCGCCGAATTCACGAGCGAGTCTTCCAATCAGCATCGAACGCTCCATGACATTTTGGATGCTCGGCAAATGTTACCAGCATATGAATCACGATTGGATTTCCAGCTCAAGACGGAGTCGGCCCTCGATTCAGAAGACACGCTATCAGCGGCAGGTCGTAGTACGCCTGCAGTTCCTAAGTCGGAAACATCCGATCGCGAAGATCTCAATGGAGGTGTGGAGAACGGAAACGTTGAACACGGTGGCTCGAACAAGAACCACAATTCGTCAAACGACGATGATCAGGCCAACGATGCGCTAGGCGACGTCAACGGCTCGCCGAAAGAATGCATTTGTGAGCAGAATAATCTGATGGGCATGCAAGTACCCATGAACGGTTACGAAGGGGGCGCCATACTTCGAAACGGGAGTGTTCTGAGAATCGGTTGCATTGTACTCTTGTTCACGAGGGTTGACTGAGGACAACTCACATTCCTCAAGTCGCTCGTCTCTCACGCAGCTGCCGGACCGGGACAGGGTCAGATTGTTGGCTTTCGGAAGGACCTTGGGGGTTCGGGGAGCCGCGGGCTCTGATCGACGACGGCGTGAGAGGACGAATTCCACGAGGGGAATAAAGTCCATACAGATGAGTGTATATGATTTGTACAGAAGAAGCTCCTATTTCTTTTAGCTCGCTCGAAAAGAATTGTTCGTCGTGGTCGTACTCTCGTATCGTGCGCGAAGATGGTCGTCATGCTCTCTATTTGATTGCAACCATCGCTCGTCCTACAGTTTCACTTACATGGAATATTGCGAGGGGGATCGCTCTTTCAGTGACTGGAGCGCCTTCGGGTTTCTTAGCGATGACGTAGCGACACGAAAGTCCCGCGTCTTTCACCATCTGGTCTCCAAGGAACTCGGCTAATCTTCTGGCGGTCGATATGGATGTGCTCTTCTGAGCGCCGTAGTCTTCGAGCTTCTTGCTCATGGAGCGATTTTCGGAAATCAGATCAAAAAGTTCTTCGTCGGGCATCGTCGAAGCCCGCGAATACAGCACGTCAAGCCAGTAGTCGGCGATCTTCGCCACTGATGCGTAGCATTCTTCCAAATTTTCGCCTTTCAATGGAGGACGACAAATCATCATGCGACTGTCGATTACTTGAATTCAGCCTCCCCGACATGCTCATATCGTTACCCCTGCCGTATCGAGGTCATTTCGGAAGCTCACCTTTCAGGAAGGCTTCGAAGACTGAGGATTGGAAGATTTTTATCAGCTGTAATTCCCCACGTCGTTTTACTTCGAAGCCCTTGAGCTCAGCGAGAGAGCCGTCGAAGTTGAATACAGCGTACCGCTTCTTGAGTTTTTTCCCTTCCTCCTTGCTAGCGGGGAGGACCATAGCCAGGTAGGGCCCATCGACCTGACGGCATAGAAAGGAGAGATGATTCCTTCCGTGAGGTGGGCAGGGGGCGCGATTTCTCGCGACATTCCGAATCGGCATTCCAAAGAATCGACCTGGGTACCGACCTCGAAGAAAATCGAGTTTTCTTCTCGAATTTCGTATTTTCTCTTCACCGGGTCCACGAGCTCGTGGTATTGATCGTTCGTGTTAAGTTTTTGCACCATTATGTTCAGGATCGCCCCAGGATATGAGATCACAACTTTCGGCTTCTTCTCGAATGAGCTGCGAATCTCAAAATTTTCCGGGAACGACGCTGGTAGAACGCACCAGATCCCGTCCGTGTCCAACTCCAGCGGCCGGCCGATCTGCTCGATCAATTCTCGAGCTTTCATGATGATACCCGCACCAGTGTGACAAACTATTCCTGCCATTTCCATCGAGTACCACCTGGAGCGAGAGTTTTCAAGGGTGAGTTTCACTCCGACGGCTACAGGAAATGCCAACTGTCAGCAATACATAGGGAAGACTTGCCTGGCCCCTCTCCGCATCACGTATCCATAAAATGAATTGAGGATACATTTGTGAGCCAGTTGCAGAGAGTCATATAGGATTTCTAGGTTCTTCGCTGACTTTATTTCAGCTGCGTCTCCCCGTTTCACCGCCTCGTTCACCAACCCCTTGGCCTTTTTGAGGAGTCCCTTGAACTCATAGCGCCGATCTCTGAATTGTCGCACTGTGAATGGGATCAAAAATCAGTTCAACAGCTCAACATCTGGACAATGCCTTGAAAACAGTCGCGCATCGAATTTTCCTGATGGGAAGATACGGTTCTCGCATTGAAAAGCAGGATCGCGTCTCGAGTGCGAACTTCAGGTGGAGGTTTAGGTCACTCACCAGTATCGACATAGAAAGAATTCTCTCTCTGACAGATTGTGGTTTTTTTGAGTTGAGTTTTCGTTACGCGAATTTTCGAATAGGCTCGCCGACAATAATCCTGAAGACGCTTCTTCTCGATCGCGGCTCGGTCTTCGTCGGAAAGCTCGTGGAAAGGAACTCTCTTTTTCGGATTGATCGGCGATACAAAGGTTTCGGTTTCCAACTGCTGCTGAATCCTCTGAAACTCCGCACGCGTGGCCGGCATCATCTCGCCCCTCCAGGTCCATTCCATTGTCCGCTGGCATCTTTCGCCGGGTCTGAAGATAGATTTCATTTCGTTAGTATAAGTATCCCGACATACAATATGAGTCATATCATATGATACGGGAATGGTCCTCGCGATTGGAATAGCGCTTCATTCACCTATTATAGTCGCAAGCGGCACAGGTGGCCACGTCCACCATGGCAGATGGTTGCAGTCGATTCGTAAGAATAATATTCGGGTACATCGCGCCCACGTCCAAGTGGTAAATGATCGGTTTTTCCAGCCGATTTGGGCAATCCCGAAGGCCTGCCAGAGCTGTTTTGATATCTGTGCAGACCTCGTCGAAATTCTGAACTGACTCGAACGGAATGCTCTCCTCAACGGTGATAGCCCTCTTCATGGTTTCGTCGACTTCGTCGATGAGCTTTTGGAAGGCTTGAGGCACCAGCCGGAACCGACATGGAATGTCTGCTCGAAAAACTCCAGATTCGAGAGCCTCCACATGACCTCCAACATAGGTTTCTTGATCCAGAACATGGCCGTCTTCGGATATTTTGTTGAATATGTTCTCTTGTTTGTTGGGGTAGATTATCTCGGCCTCGAATGCCTTGACCATGAGCAGGGACTCGCAGAGAGTTCCAGATCCCTTCCGTAAAACTTCGTCCGGCTGGGTCGGAATGATGGTACAAAGAGCGAAGATGAACGGATGTACGTACTTCATATAGAGATAGTACGTTGCCACAGCGTCGGACACCGAGTAGTTAGCCAGCACCTGAGGGTTGTCTTGCGCCATGGCTACCATGAGTTCCGGGTCGAGTTCCACCGGATCGTATCTTAATTTAGCTTTCGCTACCGCTTTCAAATTCTGACTCCCCACCGGAAGATAAGAATCTCGCTTCACCTGAAACAGAATTTTTCTTGTTTCAGTCCCTCGTGAGGAAACAATTGATAGAAGTGCCGCGCCCCACCAATAGATTCCAGAGAATACTCTCGGCTTACCCAATGCAAACAGTCCATGTGTATGCAAGCTCTACTGAGATAGAAACCCTCTCGACCTCTACTCCAACCAACGTATTTGTTCATATCTAGTTTGTGGAAATTCGCTCTGGCTTCGACAAACATCCAGTCGAAATTGTCACCATTGTAAGTGGCGATGACCAGTGGCTGTACGTCGAGAATATGGTCGAAGAACTTCACGAGTAGAGCGTTTTCATTCTCTTCGTTGAATATGGTGAATTGACCTGTGGAGGAAAAAGGTCCGCGAATGTCAATCCCACTCTTGCTCCTGGTTCCCAGCCGGGGAATACGCGTAGGATAGACTCACCTTGAAACTCGGGTTTTGGCGTGTACTCGAAATCTTCCACATTTTCTGAGACGATCTCTTTGTTCGTGATGAGATACCCGTGACCGTCTATCATGTACGATATCATCATAATTTGATCGGACGCCGAATCAGGAAACTTCAAAGGCAGTTTCGAGGTTTCTATGTCATAGGCCAGGACGCATATATCCTGGAATTTGAGATTCACAATCGATCACGCCCTGATGCATGAGAAGTCCTCGAGTCCTCATAGAATTAGAGCGAAATTCTCGCGACGGGAATCCCGGGTCCTGAGTTCGACGGGAACCTACCGGCGTAGCGAGCAGGTCTTGCTTTCGGGTGATGATTGGACTTTTTGAATGCTGCACTTTGACGGTGTACCATAGTCCAACGAACAATTTGAGATCGATGCTGACTCGCACATGGTACGGAACGTCGTGTTCGCGCATGTCCAGGATATTTTTGAGGACATCTGAGTTAGCGCCAGCCGCCGATGTCTTGTCGAGCTTGTTCTTCTTCACGATAGGCAACAGTTCCCTCCGAACCTATAAGGGGCATCTCAGCTCCAATTGGTCACAATATCGATATCAGGCAGGAATATGATCGACTGATGAAATCAGTTATATGCCTTCGGAAATAGGTACCTTCTGGAGGTCGGTCGTGTTCGAAAACGTGCATTTTATATACTGTTGCTTCAAACCGGATAAATGGTTCAACAGGTCGAGATCCTCTTTCATGACCATCTCACACACAGAGAGATAGCCCTGATACTTCCTCAGAAGGTACGACGAGATCTCTTGCTCGGTCCCTCCTGCCACCAAGACGTAAAGGTACGGCTTGAATGGCACGGATATTTTGAATCTAGTCCCATTCTCTTCCAAGAAATAGCAATCGAGGGCGGCAATCAGGCGCTTGTCTTCATCCAAGATCTCTGTCTGGAAGAGATTATTCCCCGTGATTCGATATCAAGACTCATGGTTTCTTCATACCACGCCTCTTTTAATCTAATTCCTCAAAAACATGATAGAAGGGAATTTCCCCAACAATGTTGAGGACGAGTTCATTCGGGGTGTCCTACTCACCGCTTGGAAGTTCACCATGAAACCCACTCGTTCCGTGGCTTCAGTGCATCTCTCGAAGCCGTATCTGGCATCGATCTTGTCATTGAAGAGAGAGGTTTCGAGTCGTTTGTCCGAAGGGTCTCTGTCGGGGTAATAACAGGACTATTTCAAGATTGGCTATATCTTTTCGCGTCGCTTGGAGTCCAGAGAGCCCGATTTCGATCCTACAGCTTCGAAGCTTGAGTGACTCCGAGCTCCAACGTCTCTGTTGAGGCTCGCCGTGCAGGTCCGATCTATCTCGTCCATGTTCAGCGGGTGTCAACTTCGCTTGAAAACCTTCAATCTATGAAAGCGCATCGTCGAGAAATCGAGTGAAGGTACACCTTCTCAAACGTGTGTATCGGAAACCAGATTCCCTAATCAAAGACAACATGACAAGCCTCGAGCTCCCCTCGTCCTTCACGCGGATTCATATGACAGAGATTCCCAGATAAATATCAGCAGAGGCGAGAGCGCTCGCAAACCGAATCTTTCCCTGCGATCTCAAGATTGGTCTTCAATCATTCGATGACACACTACCCAACTGCATGATGATGCATGAATACGCCAGCACAGCTCGAGGAGAATAAGGGAAAATCTTATCTCGCGCTATTTAAACAGTGGGATTTCAGTACCCTTTCTCGAAGGCTTGAGCACCGGATTTGGAGTTGGCTGGATCCGCCACATATCTGCCGGTGTTGTTGAAACGGCGCGACATAGTTTTCAGCGTGGTCACTTCTCGAAGAATCTCCTCCGAGACACCGGAGGCTGCTTGAAGCAACTTTCCAGGCTATCATCAGCGGGACACTTATTTTGGCGCCAAACAGCTGTAAGCATATTGCTATATCAATAACTCCCCTCTCCCACAAGGCCCCGAAAAGCCCCGTGATCCGAGGTCGATCCTGCGATTTCCTCTGATAGTTCTCTGTTGAGGAGCGATGCAGCTTCGCTGGTTCTGGGTGCAAAGCTTCTCGCGGCACCTTTCCGAGACAAGGTGCGCGTGTTCGGAGAGATCTCGGATCAGTGCTTCTGCTTTCGAAATTATCCGCGGACACTGTTGTTATTTACATCATATCTGGGAGAGGGCAGCAGAAAACAGAACCACAGGCCAGCCGTGAATGTGTTCGTATTTCCTTCCTCAGTGAATCAAATCACTGTTTCAGAAGACGCTGGTGAAGGCACGAGGCACGAAACATTCAGCGATCTCCGTTAATCCTCACTGTGGAGGACTGATTCATCGCACCCAATTCGAGGAATAGAAATCATCAGTCTACTTGTGGGATATATGCTCCCTCGTACTTTGATGGATGTCGTGAAAGTGTGGATTTTCGAGTGACGCCAGCCTCATGGGGAACGACGGCGAATGCTGATTATGACGGAGGGCGTTCGACGCGGAGAAGTTGAGTGAGATGGAAACGCGGGAAGGAACTCCGTCAAGTCTTCGCGCCGGAGCATCGGTAAATACCAATACTGATATTATATTCATCCACGAGAGCGACCGTCCTCGCGTAAGAGCTCCGCCATCCCTGTTGGAAAAGGAACCGAATCAATTCAACTCTCATTTCAGATCGGTGCGACTCATGCAGCGAGCGCGAGTTCCCGGACGGGGCCAAGTTCGGCTTCGGAAGATGAAAGGAAACAGCACAAATCCGCCGAGCCCAAGTCGGAGGGCTGCTCTGGACGTGCGATTGAGAACTCCGGTCCGCCTTCCGGAAATCAATCTAACGCGACGTCAGCTGCAGTCACGAACGCATTCAAGAACGACGGCTCTTTCCTGGAACAGTTCAGGAAAATGCAGAAGCTCAATTTCAAACTAAACAATCAGCAACTCGCTCGAACAGAAGCTCAGCAACGACTTGTCGAGGTACGGTGCTGGCTGAACGTCGCTGGGCCGATGTTGTCTCCAGAACAAGAAGTAATCCGCCGTCTCTTAGGAATCCACAGGAGATGTTGTTGCTACAGATGATGGAGTTCCTAAAGACCGACAACGCGCCATCGAGCGTCTTGCGATAGCCGTCGTAGTGAACGGAAAGAACGCCGAAACAGTCGCAGCCGGCGGGAACGAGATGTCTTTCCTCGCCACCCGATCGGGTGCGGAATACGACTTCTATCAAGAGAGGTATTTGAGAATCAATTCAGGAGGCTAGTGCATTAATTTCCGCCCGGACGCTCCATCCGATGAACCGATGGGGCTCCCCTGCAGGAAAGTCGCCGGAGCTTTCGGCAGTGATTGATTGTTTCTCACTTCACTGGTATCGGTGCTGAAGCTGGTCTTGCGATTTCCAGAGTGTCAGCGCTCTCTGCTGCTAAAGAACGCGCCGAGCAGAGCGGAGCTCTACCAATGGCGCGTGGCGAAGTCGATCGGGAAATCAAACGGAAGAAGAGAAAGTCTCGTTGGGGGGACTGGTCCGATGAACAGACGCGCGATCCCTCTTTGCTCGCCTACGCTCAACAGGTCAGACGCCGGCTTCCCGGAATCAGACAGATCCGTCCGCAAGAATTGCGGAGTCTTTCAAGGCGAAGTCACTTTACTCCATACTTCACCCGACAGGTATATGGATCGACGAAACTCTCTGACGAGCAATGGAAGCAGCTGGAAGACCAGCGCAAGATGCGAGCAATTTTCGAATTGATGCAAGCAAAGAAAGCCCAGCAGCAAGCGCTGGACGAGGCGGGTCGAGTGAAGTACGAATATGACTCCGATGAAGAGGTCGAAGGTTCGTGAAATTGAGGAAGCCTCATGGCTCGATTATTTCCCGCGCTAGGACGCGAGTGCACTTTGGAGAACTTATCTCTTACATTCCATTTAACTGTCCCTTTCCAGGAGGCACATGGGAGCACAAGCGCAGAGCTCTAGAGATGGAGAAGACGAAGCGGGTGGCCGACACACTCACACACAACGCCTATGGAAAGCATCACCTGGGAGATTTCCTCCCATCTGAGGAGCTTGACAAGTTCATGGAACGGTACGATCGTCTCCGCAACGGCCAGTCGGTCGATTTCAATGCCTACGAGGAAAATAAGCTGAAAGAAGATAACGTAGGCTTCAAGATGCTGCAAAAAATGGGTTGGAGCGAGGGACAGGGTCTCGGAGCTGGGGGTTCCGGAATCAAAGTTCCTGTCGCCAATCAGGGTAATCAAGAGCAGCGGGGTTTAGGCGCTCAGAAAGTCGGCGATCTCAGTTCCGAAGACGATGAGTACGAAGCGTATCGTAAACGAATGATGTTGGCGTACAGGTTCAGACCAAATCCCCTCAACAACCCCAGACGGTCGTATTACTGACAGCTTTCCTTGTACCATGAGAAAATGAGATAAAGTCCACAGATTAACCGTTCCGAGAAATGATCATTTATTATCCGGAATTCGGAAACATCATCAAGAATCACTGGGGGCCGCGGACCGTCGATGAGACGCCTCCAGATTCGGCGGGCTGGAGGAATTGCGAAGCAAAAGTAAACGTCCATGTATCGAGCTCTGGACAGCAAGGGAAGGTGGGGAAAGCGATCTTCACTGGCGGTTCGGACCCAGAATCCCAAGAAGTGTGCAATGCAGATCGTCTCCCTGGATTCTGACCCGAGGTCGCGAGTCCAGCACCCAGCAGCGTCGAAAACTCTCTTCTAACATATCATAGATCAGAACAAACAATTCAAAAATATTCCGTTTTTCCAAATGAACGCATCTAGAAATTATGGTATATCGGATGGATCCACAAGGTGCTTGCCAGAGGAATGAGAGGGTATCAGAGAACAGTCAATATTCAACTCGTCCTTCGGAGTTCATCCCCAGGGGGAACATCAGTCATATTTCCGGATCATCGAAGAGGTTTGAAAGTAGATAAAAGCCGCTAATCACTGCGAGTGGAAGCGAGGGGCCCGACCCATTAGAGGGCAAGCAGATTTTGGTCGTCTTTTTTCGTTTCTTTGGCTGGACCTGCTTGAGCCTGTATTGTGGGCAATCTATCGGCCGCAGCTGCTCGCTCTTGAAGGAAACGGTCGAAGTCTGATGATGAAACCGCCCCTGTGCTGCTCGCAGGTGGCGGGTTCTCGGTAGCGTCCTGTAATCGGCACAAGGTGAGATGTGGAATCGAAAGGCGATAAGGTCAGAACTAGCGCGGAAAAACATCGGTATGGGTACGGAATCATGAGCACGGTCGAGATTATCCACCTGAGCTTCGAGCCATTCTTCCATTTCCTGGAAGTCATTCGCGTTATCAGGCATCGAGTTGGTCGGGGCTCCGGGAACGGCGAACTGAGGATGCAACAGAAGAAACCGAACTCAAGGAAACAAATTAAAAAAACTACGGTCAGCTCGAAAGCCTCGAGCCATCGGCCGGAACCAAGGAGAAGGAACTGAATTTCACGTGGGGCAGCCGATGGTAATCAAAGGCTGTCTCCGAATGGATCCAGGAGTATGGCTAGAAGTTCGTGACGCGTTGTCGTCACATTCACGGAGGGACTGAGCGATCTCCCGAGGCGATCCCTACCTCGCTGAGCATAGATCAGGTTCTCATCGTACACTGTGACGGAAAGCAGCATCGATTCCGTGACGACGACTCGAAGATCGCGTCGCGTTGGAATCTCAGCCACTGATCGTGAGTGAGTAGGATTCGCAAGGCATTTATCTGGCTAAGTTCTGCGACGCGAGATAATCCCCCGAAGCGAGTCCCAACTTCTCAACTCGAGAAGTCGGCGTCGCCTGAGCGCTAGCGCGGTTTCTCGGTATCGACGAGGACTCCTTGATTGATCCAAATGCTTGCCGTTCGGGAGCACAACCGGTTTCGTGTCCCGTACTAACCTTGGCTGTTCGAGACTGCGCAAAAGCTTCGAATTCATCCGCCTCATTTGGAGACTCGACTGTGGTTGGCGTTTTTGGTTTGGTGGCTGGTCCAGCTTCCGATAAACCTAAAGGTGGTCAAAGTCACACCAATCAATCATTTTAGCGACGGATCATCATCAGGCATTGGCTTTTGCTGCGGTTGCGGTGTAACCAGCGGAATTCAGCGGCTACCCGCGGCGGTGATTCTCGGCGAGTCCACGGGAACCCGAAAGTGCACCGAGAAATCGTTGGGGATCCCGCGACCGAGGCCCGTATCTAATCGTCCACCCTAGTCCCCAGAGTTGATACTCACTCAGCTTCTGCATCGCACTCGCTTCATCCTCGAAATCGATCAGTGCCGCCGAGGCTTGTCCTACCGAGCTCTTCTGTGGACTGTTCAAAGACGTGGTCGGCGTGGCGCTTGTAGCTGATATCGATGAACGTGTCTGCGAGACGAGAGCCGACCGTCTTTTCTCGAACCGTTCATATCGGATGAACAAATTGTTCAGTTCATCGTTGAGTCGGAGCAATTCGCTGGTTATTTGCTCGTTAGAAACTTTATCGACAAGTTCTACGATACGAGTTTGCATCGCGTGACATGTTTTCAAAAGCTCCTGGAGTAGATCCCAATCCCTCGGATGTTCGTAGCCGGGCTCCAGCTCATTCAACATTTCACCGAAAACATGCATATTGCGTTGTACGATGTCGAGCTCTGCCTTCAGTTTCTGTGTCGCTTCGGGAGTGAGCTGAACTGGTGTCGGTATCACTAGCTCTCCGTGCATGGCTGAACCGCCTAAGCGGACCGATGCCGCGGACGAAGCTCGGGATTCCTTCAATAAAGTCGAGAAAACAAAAGATATAATCGTCGCCCCATGAGGATGAATGAAGGAATTCAGTCGTCATCAAATGGAATCGGTTGATGAAGTTAATATTGATCTGTCTGATGCACTGAAGTCATCGAATAGTCTCGCTCACCTGCGATGAGACCGTTCGCTGCGGTGTATGTATAGGAACCGTGGTTTCGACATTACTCTGTGGGAATTCGACGCCCTTCCCTTTTAAATCTGTGTACACTTGTACGACTCCCTGCATTTCGGGATTGCTCCGGAAGGCAGTAGCCCAATTCTGGATGAGAGACAAAACCTTCTCCTGAACAGCTGTCGGTGGGTCGTTCTTCGGACCGATCAGCTTCACCAAGTCCTGCACGAAATCTTTCTGGCTGACGACGAGGTGGAAACGGCGACCACAATTTTTCACACAAGTTTCCAAGACCTGGGAGGCGGAAACAGATATTCGATCTCTTGATTGTGTCAGTTTTACCCTCTCATGACAGGTACGGAATATGCTACCTCTGCAGACATAGTCTCTGCGCGCCAAAAACGTGTTGTGCTGGAACAAGGCTTACAGTCAGGGTGTACATGACAACAGTGTAGTTTTTGCCCGCGTTGGTCATCAGTCTCTTCCGAATGGCCTTGGCAGCATCCTTTGGACCCTCATCTGTTTCGGTGATGATGTCACATATTTCCATGTTCAAGGCCCAGTTCTCAGATGCTAGGGAGGCATCTGTAGCTTGCTCTGCGGAGTATATGGGGAATAATTAGATACACCAATGATATCTCGGGCATTGTGAATTACATCCGAGAATTTCAGTGGAAGAAGGGCGTCATCGACTAATCGAATAATCTGTATAGATAATCCTGAGGACTAAGTCCTCCAGAGGAAGCGCTTTCGCGAGTACACCGTCGCATTAATGCCCTCAGGCCGCTCAATCTCGAGTAGCGTATGGAAGCGGCTCTCTGTAAGTCATTCATGGATATCACCAAACCTGAGCCCTCCCAGCCACAGCCGGGAGCGTTCGTGGGCCGTGAGTCAGGCGATGAGCACAGCGACTACAAATCGTTCGGAGTTCTCACGAAGCCCCTCCGGTCCAAGTCTCGAATCCAGATAGGATTGGGTGTTAGGGAAGCAGATAGCATAAATGCTTATCCTCGATCAGCAGCCGCGACTAAGAACTTGAAAATTCAGGCTCGGACATCGGGAGCGGATCTAGTGGTACTGGTAGTCTGGTCCTTCAATTGGGAATCGAGCTCTCCCAAGCCTGACGGTTCCATCGCCTCGATAACGAATTCTATCCCTCCGAAAATTCAAACTGCGTAGGGTGTTTCGCTGGCTCAACCAGTTTAATCCATATGATACCAAGCATTACCGATTTTTTGGCCCACAAGGGTGGTGAGAGGATCCTTCTGTAAAGTCGCCAGGAAAGCTCCAGCATTTTCTCGTATCGTCTCTCCGAGACCAGACATGACGACGGAAGCTCACAACTATCGGAATCTGCACAGAGGGAGTTGATTCTGAAGATAAATTTCACGGTGAACGGTATTGACAACCTATGTGCCTTCTTCGGTTATGAACAGCTGACGATTCTCTGACAGCACACAGCACAAACAACAGGTCTGGTATATGGCAACCAGGGCGACATTTACCACTATTCCGTGCACAGTAAATTGGACGCGCTCGGAATCCAGGTATCGCTCGTCCGCGCCGAGCGCTAGACTGCGAGAATTCCACACGGCGGTCAGCGAACGAAAGTTGACCGCTCACCACACCGATCTTGTGCTCCGGGTCTCATTGACTCTCAAGTTTATGGAGCGAAATCAAGAGATATCGAAGGCGATCCGCATTTGATTTTTTGATTCTGTGATATTGATGAATGAGTAGACAAGACTCAAAAGGAGCCGCCTTTATTCGGCAGCCGAGATTGGGCCTGATAAGTTAATTTCTTGTGATCGTATCCTCGTGGAAGCGCCCCTAAGAAGCATCCGCACCTCGAAATTGTCCTTGCTGCATATTTGATAGGTAGACGGGGCTCCCGTATGATGAGGAATCCTGCATGGGATCCGCATAGCTCATTGATGCTTTCGTGAGTTTTATCGATGTACCGACTCCGAAAAACGAGTTCTCTGGACGCGTCTGGGGATCGGGCCTTGAGACTGGAATTGTTTGAGAGCCTGGTCGGAACCGATTAAGGTCGAGAGGTCGCTGCCGAAGCCGTCCGGAAGAGAAGGATGACCGATGCGGGCGAAAAATACACCGCTGTCATGCACTCGAAATGTGAAAATTAGTCAGAGACAGTATCCCAGCCAGAGTTCCCCCTCCTTCCACACAGTAATCATTTTATTCTCACAAACGAGCTGAGAACTCTCATTTTACCAGTTCCATCAGGGGGACGCGGATACAAGGAGAGAGGTTCAAAATCGCTGGACTTAGTCAACGAATCACGCTCCCCTGTATATTCGTTCCCGGATGAATGCGGGATCCGGGTTGCACGAATCAGCATCGATCACAATGTCAAGACCTGCCGATGAGATTCCGGAACAGCCGCGAAGGTGAGGCGAAATTATCAATCCGAAGTCTTCAAATTCCCTGTGAATCGCGAGAGAGCTCAGCCAAATAATAGGTCAATGATCGGGGGAGCAGATCAATGATTGATGACGCGAATAATGTGCCACGCCAACTGGCATTTCGGATGCAATGAATCATGAGCTGCGATATTCGAACGATTTCCTTAAAGAGGCGAATACCCGCCGAATTCCGTCCGCTCCCACCCGGGTCCATTTGGACAGGAGGCGAGAATCAGGCAGTTTAGCGCTGGGACGGAGCCTCCAGAGAGCTCGTTCTCGGAGACATTTCCGTGATGAATCGAGGGAAAAATGGCGTCATCACCTCCAAAATTTGAGGGGAACGCTTGAGTCGTGACGGAATCGGGAACAGCAGCGGAAGCTTCGACCCTGGTGGCTGGAGTTCATCCAAGAGCTGCCTGGGTCCTCTACCCTCAGCTCTTGGACCCCGTCGCTGTTATCGAGGACATTGCGAGACGAAAGGATCCGACGGAGGGCGGCATACCGCGGAGATGCCGTCGGCGTAGGACCACGGTGTCGATGCATTGGGGAACTCATCTGGTGGTTGGTTGCTGACGACAGAAAGCCAGACTCAAAAGCGATGATCGCTCCTCATCGCGATTATGCGGAAAAAGGTAAGGGATCCGTGGAACGCTCACCGCTCGACTCTTGCTTCTTGTCATCTGGATTTGTCGCTTGTCAGCTCATCCGAGTATATTTTCCTCGAGCGCGGCGCGATTTTCGTTGACAGAAATATGATCGTTTCCGCAGTGGAGGCTACGCGCGTCCACGATGACTGATCCGTCACCCTCATTCTCCAAACAAGCGCCACCACTTTTCTGAAGTGGTGGCACTGGCCCGCCCGTTAGCTGAATGACGATACACCCCAAAAGCAAAACGGAGGGCTCGGCCGTCAACCCAGAACGGGATGAGTGGCAGTCGTCGCTGCAGCATATGCTCTCCGGCATACGATTACACAGCGTCAGATTGGACTGTCTACGACGGTTTTCGCTGAAGATCGATCATGATCTTTGAAGTCAACCCCCGGAACTCCTCCGTCAAGCGGCGGTACGCGGAGGAAGTTCTTCCCCGTGATAATATCCCGGACTATTCTGTGTGTATCGACTCATAGAAATGGCTCGAATACTGAAGAGTTCAACGACGAATGGTCGAGGTCTCGACAACGATGATCAACCGCCGCGCTACTCTAGCGAAAGAATCTGCGGAACGCAAGTCCATCGTTCTTGCACTGAAGTTCCGCCGCAAGCCTGAAATATTTGGACATGATTTCGAAGTATCCCCGAGAGACGCTTCACTCCCTGCGAATGCCTCGGACAAGGCTCCGATTCAGCTCCTGAGATCAGGACGGGGAAGTGAGGCTGATGCACCGCCCGGAGAAAAAAAGGTATCCGATGAAGACCTAGGTTTCTGAACCACTGGTTGGGCACGATCGCCTGGGGTACCTACGATTAGCCGAAAGCGAGAAACGTGATCGTAACCCCTTCATCAGAATGACGGCCCGTCCGACTGACGGAAGTTATTTCTATCGGGGCTTGAACACTTCCTCCCAGCTGGTGTAGGAAAGGGATCCACGCGTGGAGCAGCGCGGTTGTGATAGCAGGTCCCAGTTCTCGTCTTCGTAACCGACACCGACGTTCCGATGGTAAGTATTAAGGAAATTATTTTGAGCGGCTGAACGAGCCCGAAAATTCTTGTCCCTTTCGATTTCCAGTGCCGGGCTCATCTATTGTCGCGCACTGTGATGTTCTTGCTCGTAGTGGATCTCGTCCGGTCATGCATGTACAAAGGCACCGAGTGCATCGGCTACACCATCATCAGGAACGGAACCGTGAGTATGACTTGTCACTAGAATTTTCTGCCTTCGGATAGAATACAGATGTCAGGGAGGAGGAATGCTATCGACGAGCGTGCCGGCGATAGATCGGAAAGCAGATGCACGAAGAGGTACCGACACAACCTCGGACATCTCAAACTTAGTGGAGTAGCCTCAACCTGCTCAGCCTCTGTCGACGATGCGGCTCCGGAGCAGAGATTCATGGCGAAAATGCACAAATGTTTTAATTTTCTCGAGCCATCGATTGCTCAGGTTGTCGACCATTTAGAATCCGCTCGATCGGAAACCTCCGGAGCTTCCGGTCGTGTTTTCAATCAATCTTCCGCACCGATCGCGTTCCTTTTCCGGGCTCGTATGTATATCGAGCCATTGATATAAGTGATTGGTAATCAGAAAGTCCGTTGTCACGGAGCTGCCGACCTTGCATGACGCATGCAGTCAATCCTTTCCGGTAGCAGATCCGAGACTCTTCCGGCTGTGGGGCGGCCAATGCATTGAGGGACGGGCGGGTTGATAATTAAGCGATCGCCCGACCGTTACCCCGCGGATCTGTCGATAATCCGACTGCTAATCAGATGTAGCGGACTCCATCTACATATAGCCTGCTTCTCAATTCGATGTTTAGCTAGCAAAGCAAAGTACCCGATTTCTGCTTAGTCGACAAGGATGCCGGCGGGGCGCTGGCTCGAGCTTGGCCGCTGGTATACCAGGGTTTGATTTCGAGTTGGAATAATGCTTATATTTCGTTAGAATACCCGTGATGAGGAAGAATAACATTCGAGCTTTGCATGTTCTTGTCGGCAGGATTTCGAGGAGCGTTTGTATCCGCCGTCAAAATGGATAACTGCCAGGACTCGGGCTCCCAGTGTGTACGAGGCTAGTCGCAAATCCTTCATGAAGCTCGTATATTACATACAAGCTTTCAACAAGCAAAGTAGGATGAGAGACTATCATAAGTGGATCATATACATATCACCCTAGTTCCATCAGTATGAGTCCGAGCCGTGGGACATCCAATGCTCTTGATTTCCGAGGAGATCTGAGCTCGGACCGTTCGCAGTTTCCGAGGAGGAGCTACTTCTCTGTTTCTCCACGAGGTCGTGTCAGTCCGGCTCGTTCGGTGCTTAGGTCTCACTCACTTTAGATGTCGCTCCCTGTACTCAGTCCGAGAGATCGTAGCGATTTCACGATCACGGGGAGCTCGAGGTTGAACTGAATGCGGACTTCATTATCTTCCAGACGTCACTGTCGATCTGACTACTCCCCATCGAACGAAGATCTATTGGGGGGCAGGCGGCCGCTCTAACGCAGAATATTCACTCTCTTTCCCTCTACCGAAGAATCTCTACAAGGATCCACCAAAAGCCAACGATCCCTCTGTCGTTGTGGAGAATGAACCGGCAACGCTTTATCTCGTCAAGTGAGTTCAGCGAGAGGAATCTCCCGTATCCAAGCTGTTTTCGAGGAAAACCTCCGTGATATTCAATTAGCTCTCCGTTACAGAAAATTCGCCGGCCGACCCAGTGAAGGAGAATGGATAGAGATCGCGAAGAAATTCTATCGCCGCATGAAGAAGTACAATGTGCCAATAGAAAAAAATTATTTCTACACAGCTCGGTATGACATGGTGTATTTCATCAACGAGCGTCGAAACGAGATCTGGCTCCCCCTGGCACCGTGATCTTCGATTCGTTGAGTCCGCGTGCGGCGAGGGAGAAAAGCGTCGAGTCATCCGCGTAATTTATAAGCTCTCTCCGGAGCGTCCCGGATGGAAACGCTCATGCGACGAATTATCCCGTCCTCAAAGCAGGGATAATCGCATCATTCCAATTATCCGCCTCGCCAACATGCTTGTGATGAACGTCGGGGAGCCTTCGTGGAGGATTTGAGGCTCTTCAGTTCGAAGAATTCGAGAACGATTGCGCGAATGACCTCCCGAGATCACTTGCGTATGGGGTCGAAGGATTGTTTGATGTATTGTGAAGCATATTTATTGATGTGAATGTCATGGTCTTCGAGGAAAATGTGTGGTTGTATCGATTCCCAATCTCTGGAATGATCCGCGACTTGTAAAATCCAGTCAGGTGGGCTCAGGTCGAGACGGGAAAATAAACAGCATGCCAGCTGTCAGAAATTGAGTGCGCTTATTCAGAGAGTTTCCGAGTCAATCCATCCGTTCCGAGCTCATAGGTCCGGGTATACAAGGAGATATTCAATCAGTCGAAAAGATCCGATCGCGATTTTTGAAAAAAAACTGTCCAGCCTCGATCCAGTCCCTAGCCGCCGCGCCAACCCAGACGCAACCCTCCGATGACTCGCTCGACCGCTCGTTCCCTTCCACCAACCTATCCCCCAGGTCGCCTGCACAGAAAGCATCGACGTATTATCCCAACAGTCACACACTCCAACATAGGGAAAGCGGTTCCCGCTGATATTCACGAGCGTCATCGGATACGCGCCGCAAAGCAGGCAGGCAGGCAAGCAAGAGATCAGAGAGACCATCGGCAGGTTGTCTCCTCCCTGCCGCCGCCGCTGCTGCTGCTATCGCCGCCGCTCTGCCGATCACCCAGTGCACTCTCTTCTCCAGGCGGGTCTGTAACCCGCGCATCCTCCCGCTCTCCCGCACCCCGCTAGAGCGGAAAGCTGGCGAGTTTTGACTCTAGTCCGACCGAGGGATTTTGGATTCCATGGGAGGAACTCTCCCCGGACTTTCGATCGGAAAACTTTTTGGGAGTCTCTGAGAGACTGCGAGCGGCCGCTCATCGTTGGTGAGCATTCGCTTCTTATGACCGAATAGCTTCAAAGCAGTGCTGTCTCTTCACTTTGTGCCGCGCAACCTGTCCCGAGCCGTTCGCTGAAAGTCGCCAAGCTCTAGAGTGACAACATGTCTGCCGCATTGGGAGAAGCGTCCTGTAGATAGACTGATGAGGAATTACAAGGTGCCACGGTGGTTGCTTGACTGACTTACCGACCGAGGGACTAAGTCAGCAGTTTGCCGCTGAGTTATCGCACGGAAAACTTCTCCTTATCAGCCTGAATTCTCTTCAGAACACCCAGCGACCGTCGGCCTGACTGACAAGGGGTCAACTTCAGAAAGAAGCCGATCGCTCGCTCCTTTCATCCGCGTGATCTCCTGTATCTGTGCAAGACACACTTGCTCTGCAGTGGACAGGCAGGTCTCCGATCGCCATGTGACCCCACTTTTCGGTTTGTCGGTTCATGGATCTCGGTCCACGGCAACCTCGGCGGGATCGGATAAACGCACGCGGAATCAACACCTACGATTCGAGCAGATATTTGACTCGGGAGAATGCAGAGATGAAATGAAGGAGCGCCTCGGTGAGCAGTGCAAGTTTCTCCAAAGGACATCCCGCTCGAATCCGACAAGGTCAGTGAACATGGCTTGCTGCATCAGGTCCGGAAGAACGGTCTGCCAATTCTGCCAAATATTCTTCCGTGACTCGATTCGCGCTTTGTGTCTGGGAGCGGCTCGCTGAAGATTCCATGATGTGTCAATCAAGCGATCAATCTGTCACTCACCCACCGACAAACGAGTCCTGTTCCTTATCGAGATGCCAGGCTCAGCCGTGATCTCGTCTATGTAGTCTGTTCAGACCGGTCTTCTGGCATCCTGCGAGAGCTCC